AAGTCCGCTATAAGTTTAGCATGGAAGTTAATGTCTCTGACAGTAGCCTTCTTTGACTCCTCTGCTTGATGGAATGATGCTTCCAAGCATTTCATTCTACCTTTTAGAAACTCCAATTCGTCATTCAGATCTGCATTAGCTTCAGATAAGATGATGCACTTTTCTTCAGCTTCAATAAGCTTCAAGTTCAGACCATCAATCAGATTTTCCATATCCCTGATGGTAAAATTTACATTGGTTTGTTTTTCCTGACTGGCTTCAGATGCTACTGCATGTTTAAGATTTAGCTCAGATTCCTTCAATTGCTTCTCAAGCAGACAAACTCTCTCAGAAGTTATACTACTACTGTTCCTAAGGGTAATGAGATCTTCATTAAGTTCCATATTAGCATCTTTTAATGATTTACACTCAGCCTCTGCAATCTGAAATCTGCTTTCAGCTATGGCATTGTTTTCCGTCAGACCACTTATTCTAGCTTCCATTTCACAAACCTTCTTCATGTCAAGGCATTTCTCATCAGTCTTTGTATCATTATGTGGGAGAAACTCTGAGTCGTTCAATTGTTTATCAGCTGAGTTAAGCTTTATCCTAAGCTCTTCACATGTATTCTCTGACTTCTGCAATAAGCTTTCTTTTGCTGACAACAGTTCATTCAAATCTTTTAGTTTAGACTTCAAGTCTACCTCTCTCTGCAATGCACTGTTCAAATCTAATTGTGTTGTTTGTAGCTGTCCTCTTAGCTCTTTTGAAACCTCCAATAAAACTTGGGTAGCATTTTCTGCCCCAAACAGCCTTTCACAGGCATCTTCAACCTCTATCTCTACGCATAATAGCTGTTGCTGCAACCCAAGTTTCAACTCTTCTTCACTTTGTTTAGTTTCAGAAAGTTTCTTCTCAAGATCCAGCTCATTTGCAAGTGATTTCTCCAGCATTTGCAAGACATGCCTTTGCTGCTCCGCAGTCTGCATTTTTATCTTCGTATTTGGAGTTAAAGGAGAAGCCAGCTCAAAACTTTCTAAAGGCTTAACATCCTTCCCTGTCATTTAATGCAAAAATCTTTCACGAGTCTGATGATATTGAAGAAATAAGTTCAAACAGGATAGCCATTGCAATAATCTATTAGGATGAATCACGACTATAAATCCATAAGTCCAATTTTGTACACATGTGTAACTCCACACCTATTTCAGGTATGTAGGGAATAGCTTAGATAAGCACCAGAATTTTCAGGGGATATCATTGATCCTTAATACTGACTACAACATTTAGACTTAGAAAAACATTAGTCATCCGGAACTATTTGTCTGTATTTATGTGTTTGTATATTTTGTTTTTGTGGATAGGCAATTAGATAGTAATTCTTAGGGATAAATTAATTCTAGTGCAAATAAATAGCTCAAAGTTTTAAAATAGGTGTATAGCTATAGCATTTCTCATTATGTGTTAATACATTTATACTTCGGTTAATAATTTGTTAGACTGGTTAATAATTCATTAAGCAAGTTTAGTTGAGCAAATGGCGACTTCAAAGGTAATTGTTGATTATCAATTAAGATTGAGAGATTTCTGTGAGTGTTAATAATTTTGTGGATGTGTGTTTCAAATTTTCAATTAAGACTAATGTCACTAAGCTACTACTTATAGATGTGCGTTTGAGTTGAAAATTTTTGTATTAGTTAAAAAAAAATTTGTCTACTAATTGCTACTTGATTTCTAAAACTTGGTAAAATTTGTCGAATTTCAAACACCAATAGTCCAATGTGGCTATATGCATCTATAATCCATATACATACATGTGTGCCTGCAAATCAAGAATGCAAAATAGTACTTACAGTTTTCAGTCACCATAAAATTGGAAGACTGTGCCTCCAATTCCAACAGCTGCTCTTGTAAGTGTTGAAGTAAACCTTCAGAGTCATACAACTTTTCCTTAAATAGCCTACAATGTTCTCCCTCATCCGCAAATGTAGGTATGATCTGGTGGGAATAGTCAATCTCCAACTGAAGGGTGGACAAGAAAGCACTTAGTTCCCTTACCTCAGAGTCCAAGAGAACAGATAAAAGGTCAAACTCCAATGCCTTGTCAGCGCAACCATTAAAACATTGATCATCTGCCGCGACAGCCTCAAAGTAATTCTCCCTTGTCTCGACAAGCATTTTAAGTACGTTCATGTTAACAAGTTTCTCAGAAGAGCATGCTAAATCTAGTTCGATTTTGGAAATAAGCTTCCCAAAAACATCTAGTTCTAGCACGCTTTCTCCACTAGATAGGATGACTTCAGCAGAGTCAGCATTATTTGACTCTGCCTCCAGTTCACTAGACCCATCATTCCCAAAGTCAGCATCCATGATCCTTCAGAATAGCAGTTGTACATCGAGTTAATAGCGGAAAATCCTTATGTTTATAGCTAGCAAACAAGTGGGTGAGGTCAAGTTCAAATTCGGTACTTTCAGGTTCGGGTCAATTTTTAGTTTAAAAATGCATGTTCAAAACCCAATATCATCAAGTTCGGATTAACCAAACGGGTTATGAGCGTTTACTTTTAGAATATTTAAATTGATGCGAACACTATTATTTTGCATGAAAATGTAATAAAAATATTGAAATACTCCATATATCAATTAAACCTTTGGAGAATTAGGATTAGAGTAGCTGGTTAGGAACTCGGTGCTATAGAGGTTTTTTGTAGTGTGTTGTGTTTGATTGGAATCTTCTATTAATGCTTGTAGAACTTTCTTTTCATTGTACTTGGTGTTTTATCCATGCTATACTGTATACTCTATCATATTTTTTGTGCAGGTTGAGCCGGGGGTCTCTTGGAAACAGCCTCCCTGCTTCCAAGTAGGGGCAAGGTCTGCGTACACACACCCTCCCCAGACCCTACTGTAGTAGGATCCAACTGGGTTGTTGTTGTTGTTGTACTCCATCACTAAATAAATTTCACCTTCACCGTAGAAGTATATTTTTAAACCTAATTTTGCATAATTTCTTTTTCGCACTTTATGATGATGCATAACTGAACGTGGTAGGGCTTAGGTCTGAGTAGACCAAGCCTCCAAGATTGCATTTATGGATTTTATTGAATAGTTTGTTGTTGTTATAGGCATAATTGTACTATTTGAGAAGTTAAGCTAAATTTATTAGTTTTCAAAGAAAGATTAAATTTAATTTTTAAATAAACAATTAACAAAGGAGTAAATTCCCAAAATGGTACTCTATAACTATGTGTTTTCCCAAAGTAGTCCCTAAAATTAACTAATTCCCGAGATGTTACTTGTTAATTGAGAATAACGCTCGTCCCCCCGAACAGCCGTTAAAACAACGTTAAAACGATGTTAAACCTTATACTACTTTCCCAAAATGGTACTCTCTAACTGCGCATTTTCACAAATTGGTCCATTTTCTAAATAAAAAAATATTCAAACATATTCATTGTGAAAAAATATTTTAAATTTTATAGGATGAAAATATACTATTAAAAATTATAAATATAATTTTATAAATTTGAAAGTAAACGTAAGAATATTTACAATTATTTAGAAGAATATCATGTAAATAAATTTTTTAATAAATGTTAAAGAAATCACCATTAATAGGAGTAAACCATAGAGAAAGAGCTCCTATTTTGGTACTTTCTTTATGTTTTACTCATATATAGGGTGATTTCTTTAACGTTTATTAAAAATTTTATTTAAATGCTATTCTTCTAAATAATTGTAAATGATCTAAAATGTTTACTTTCAATTTTACAAAACTATATTTAAAGGTTTTAGTACTATTATGCCATCCTATAAAATTTAAAATATTTTTCCATAATTAATTTATTTTTATTTCAAAAATTGACTAATTTGTGAAAACACCCCATTAGAAAGTACAATTTTGAAAAAATAGTATTAGGTTTAACGTCGTTTTAACGCAGTTTTAATGGTCGTTAGTAGGGAGTATTATTCTCGATTGATTAACCAGTACCATCTCGGGAATTAGTTAATTTTGGAGACTAATTTGAAAAAACATATAGTTATTGAGTACGATTTGGTTAACAACTTTATAATCACATACGTTGGCAGAATGAAAGGATTGAAAATAAGACGCAAAAAGATCTCGAAGACGATGCAGCAGTACAGCACCCGATTACAAAAAGAGTTTACAAATTATCAGATTTCAACTATCACGATGATGATTTGCCTATTGATAAGAAATAAATCTCAATGATAAACAAAAACAAATACTCCACCCGAAAACACAATTAATTGAAAAAAGATGGAGAATTTATAATCTAATGATAACCTGAACAGAATTTAAAGAAAGTTTATTTATAATTTTATACAACACACCTCGGAAACTCGAAGAGCTGCAGGTAAAGATGAATTTCGTTACACAGGATGATTTTTAAAAAACGAATGTGAAAAAATGACTCGTTAATGTTCTAGATCCTGCACTCTAGCAGTTGCAACGTGCTGCCGGGTAACCGTGACACGTATTTACTCTTTTGGTTTTGGGCAGTGTTTTGTGGAAAGACCGTGAACCGAATACAAATCCAGTCCAGTTTAATGAGAAAATCTGCTTTCCAAATGACCCGGGTCGCGGGTTTAAGCCTAAACCTAATTTTTTATAAACGTCTTCTCCTAATTTATTGTTTTTATTTATTACTTATTTTTATTAAAATTAAACCAGATCACGTCAGATTAGAATTAGCTTTAAATATAATTACTTTTAAATTAGATCATACCATATCAGAACTTATTCCAATCATATCAAAACTAATCAAATCATGTGAAGAGAACATGACCTAAGTTTTACAGAGTAATATTTAAAAATCGAAGCAAAGGTTGGATATGCAAATCTAGTCCGGTTCAATGAGTAAACCCGCTATTCAATTGACCCACCCAAACCTGTTCGAACTGGTGAAACAGGTGACCCGGGACCTTTCACAAAAATACACGAACTTCAATTTTCTTTCTCCAAAAGTCCATTAGCAATTTTCTTTCACTTTCTTAGGATGAGAAGAAACTTCTATGTGGAGTAACATGGGAGGAAGCACCGGAGTCTAAAATCCAAGATCTTTCATCACCAAGCCATGTTTAGGATATTACCTTCTCCAACAAAATAGAGCAGATCTTCTCTTGATACTTCAGCAATAGTACTCTTCTGTTTTTGCTTCTTTGTTGGGCTCATCTAGTCTGGCTTAATGTTACTTGCCTTTTCATCTCTCTTCAGGGATACGCATTTAGTTATCTTGTGGCCCATATTTCGACAATAGTAGCAAGTAATCTTCGAGCGTGACTTGGATCTACCTCAAGATTGATGTGGATCTCGGCTCTTGCAACGTCTTCGAGTTTCATACCTACTCTGCTTCTCAATAATATTGGCCTTGGATTAGGTGGGCTCGCCTCTTTCCTTTATCCTTGCTTCTTCCCCAAGAAGGCTATCACTGATGGTACCCATTGTGAACTTTCCTTCCGGAGCTGAGTTACTAAGGGTAACCATAAGTGTATCCCAGCTTTTCTGGCAAGGAATTAAATAGTAGAATGGATTGCAACTCATCATCAATCTTCATATCAACTTTTGTTAACTGATTTACGAGCCCCTTGAATCTGTCCAAGTGCTCAATTTTACTTTGGCCATCCTTATACTTTAGTTTCACCAACCATCGAACTAAATATGCTTTGTTACGAGGTGTTTCTTTTGAATCATGGACTCAAGCTTTGTCCATAACTCATAAGCTTTTGTGTAAGTAGAAACATGCTCGCAGAGAGTCTTATCAATAAATTTATAGGTTATTACAACGGCCTTGCGATTGAGTAGCTCCCATTGAACATTGCTCTTGCCTTCAACCTTGTCTTTGTAAATGATGGGCTCATGCAAGTCCTTGCAGTATAGATGGTCTTCCATCATCGGTTGCCAATACGAGTAGTTGTCGGACGTGAGCTTGAACTTGTCTCCATCATGAGTGATGTTGTCCTCCATATTGTGATCATTCTTACGTTGATATATGCACCATTTTCCCGTATCCTCCACATTGCAGACACTCTCCACATAAATGGGATAAGTCATCAACCCTTGTTGCGATGTATGCGCCATCACTTACACCACTAGTATGGTGAATACGGGGTTTTGTGACTTTGTCCCTCTAGAGGACCCATCCGAAGGGCCCTTCAGTCCATTTGGGAAACCTGGCTTATTCCCCTTGAAGGGCTTCCTGTTACTCTTTGTATCCTCCCCCTCCTTCGTGGCTTTCTTTCACTTCTCTTCTTTTTGCTCCTCTAACGTTACATACCTGCCAAAGGTGTCCAGGAGATGGGTAGTGAAGTCGGTGTGAAGGAGCCCTTCCTGCAATGCTGCCGTGAACATAGCCAGCCTAGATTTTTCATCAGCTCCCTCGACTTCACAGGACTCTTTCCTCCATCGGACTCAGAAATTCTTCAAAGACTCTCCATTCTTCTCCCGAACAGGCGCCAAATATGTGAATTGCGTTTTACATCAGCAATTCCCTACGAAATGCTCACAAAAATCGTAGACCTAGTTCATCTCAATTCCGGATTGATCTTTCTAGGAAGTGATTCACTTAGTCTGCCACTTTGTTGTCTATGATTTGGAGAAAACAATGGTACATTAGAGCATCCGTAACATTTACTGCTATTATGACTTGCACATAACTATTTATGTGCTCTTGGGGGTCAGACTTTCCATCATACCTCTTAATGAATGGACCTTGAAACCTACCGGGTATCGCTCCCAATTCTCCCCGAAATCGATGACACAGGCCCGCATCATATCTTCCAAAATCTGAATTACTCTCTCCAACTGGCCATCAGTCTGCGAATGAAATGCGGTACTGAAGTTGAGCTTAGAACCAAGAGCCTTCTGTAGACTTTTCCAAAACTGTGACGTGAATCGCGGATCGCGATCCGAAATGATAGACGCGGGTACCCCGTGCAATCTGACGATCTCACGGATGTAGAGTTCGGCTAATTTCTGCAATGAGAAGTCTCTTCTAATCGGCAGGAAGTGCACTGACTTCGTCAGCCGATCTACGATTACCCAAACTGCATCGTTCTTCCTATTAGACAGTGGAAGTCCCACCACGAAATCCATAGTGATTCGCTCCCACTTCCACTCGGGAATGACCGGCGGATGTAACAATCCACTCGGAACCTGATGCTCAGCTTTGACCTGTTGACAGGTCAAGCATTTAGAAGTGAACTCTGATATTTCCCTCTTCATGGTCGGCCACCAGTATGTCCTCTTGATGTCCTGATACATCTTGTTGCTACCCGGGTGCATGGTGTACATAGTCTCGTGAGCTTCACGCAATAGGCGCTCCCTTACCTCACCACCAGGTACAACCAGACGATCCCGGTAGAACAAGACTTCGTCGTTGTCGATGGTGAAGTCTTGTCTCTCCCCCTTAGAGACAAGCTCCCTAGTCTTTGCGCAATATTCGTCCTCTTGTTGAGTTGTGCAAATCTCACTCCTCAAGATTGGCTGTAGCCGCAGTTCGGCCATAGTCTTTCGACTCAAAGCGTCGGCCACCACATTGGCCTTTCCCGGATGGTAATCAATATAACAGTCGTAGTCCTTAATCAGTTTTAACCATCTTCTCTGTCTCAGGTTCAGCTCCTTTTGAGTGAGCAGGTACTTCAAGCTTTTGTGATCCGTATGTATGTGTGTTGTTTCTCCAAACAGGTAGTGTCGCCATATCTTTAATACAAATACCACTACCACCAGCTCGAGATCATGGGTGGGGTAATTGCATTCATGTGGTTTCAACTGCCGTGAGGCGTAGGCTATGACTCTACCTTCCTGCATAAGCACACATCCCAACCCATTACGGGATGCATCGCTGAACACAGTGTAATCCATGCCCGGTGTGGGCTGTACCAATACGGGTGCCTCAGTCAAGCATCTCTTCAGTTGGTCAAAACTCTTTTGGCAGGCATCTGTCCAAATGAATTTGACGTCCTTTTTCAGGAGTTTGTTCAGTGGGGTTGCAATGGAGGAGAAGCCTTCCACGAAGCGCGGGTAATATCCTCCTAAACCGAGGAAGCTTCTCACCTCGCGGGAGTTTCTAGGAGTCTTCCACTCCGTGATAGCCGAGATCTTGCTTGGGTCCACCTTGATGCCTTCTTTCGAAATCACATGTCCTAGGAATGTGACTTCATTGAGCCAAAACTCAAACTTTGACAATTTGGTGTAGAGTTTGTGTTCCCTAAGAACACTCAACACGACCTGCAGGTGCTTAGCATGTTCCTCAAGTGTCCTAGAATACACTAAGATGTCGTCGATGAATACCACCACGAACTGATCCAAATAAGGGCGGAAAATGTTGTTCATAAGATCCATAAATATTGCTGGGGCGTTAGTCAACCCAAATGGCATCACCGTAAATTCATAGTGCCCGTAGCATGTACGGAAAGCGGTCTTTGGAATGTCCTCCTTCTTGACTCGAATCTGGTGGTATCCAGATCGAAGATCGATCTTGGAAAATACTGTGGCTCCTCTGAGCTGATCAAATAAGTCGTCGATGCGCGGTAATGGGTAGCGATTCTTGATGGTTACTTTGTTCAAATGTCGATAATCGATGCAAAGCCTCATATAGCCATCCTTCTTCCGAACAAAGAGCACTGGTGCTCCCCACAGGGACGCACTTGGTCTGATAAATCCCTTGTCAAGAAGTTCTTGGATTTGGGCCTTTAGTTCCTTCATTTCTACCGGTGCCATACGATACGGTGTCACGGATATGGGTTCGGTCCCTGGAATCAGATCGACGGAGAATTCTACCTCCCTTGGCGGTGGTAGGCTAGGGAGATCATCGGGAAACACCTCTCGGAACTCACTCACTGAGGGGATGTCCTTCAGTTCGGGGGTTGTTTTGCGCACATCACGTACATTGCAAAGAAAGGCCTCGCATCTCTTCCGGATGAGACGTTTAGCTTGCATAAGGGATACGAACTCAGGGGGTTTGGGGAACAATTCCCCCTTTACTTTGACGACCCCACCGTCATCAGCCTTTATCCGTACGGTGCGTAGTCCGCAGTCGATTATGTCTTGGTGCTCTGTTAGCCAATCCATGCCAAGGATAATATCGAATTCCTTGTATGGTAGATCTATTAAGTTCGCAGAGAGTACTTGTCCGTGGGCGGTCAACGGACAATTCCGAAACACGTGGTGTAATCTCATGCTATGCCCTAATGGATTGGACACTATCATGAGAGACTCTAAGTCGCCTCTCGAAATGTCAGACTTTTCCAGCATAGGAATGCAAATATAAGATAGCGTAGAGCCCGGATCAATAAGTGCTAGCATGTGGGTATCAAATAATGAGAACATATCCAGAATGACGTCCCTGTTTACTTCGGTTCGCCCCTGCATGGCATAGGTGCGCGCTGGAGTTCCCCCATGTTGGCGATCATGACTTTGGCTTTGACTCTGGCACTTTCGCGGGTTCGATCCCGCGGTAGTGCGCTGGCTCTATGTAGGACGGGCCGCAGACGGCTGTGTCTGCATCTCGGTGGTAGGAAACGCGGGTCCTGCATTCGTAGGTCAATCCCTCTTGAAATGTCCCACCTTACCGCATCCCAGGCACAGACCCTGTGTCAACCAACATTCTCCTGCATGCTTTGACCTCTTCCAAGGGTTCGCTTGCCACCTGACGTGACGATGCCCTTGTGCTGGTTGCTCGGCTCCTCCGAACCGGCCACACTCTTCTTCCACGCGATCAGCCCCTTTTCGTCTTTCTCTATTTGGTTGTACGCCGCTGTGAAGTCTGTTGTTGGCACAACTAACAGGTAGGGTTGTATATCTAGTCGGAGTTTAGTAGTGAACTCCTCAATGCGGTTTGTTATGGTACCCACCAAAGTTCCTGCAAACTGGGCTAAATGATCAAACCTCTGTCGAAACTCAGGGAGTGTCATGTCCCCTTGCCTCAAAGCCACGAACTCGGCCCGTTTTCCCTCTCAGAAACGAGGCGGAATGTACTCCTTATGGAAGGAGCTATCGAAATATGCCCATGTCAGTGGCTCAGGGGCGTTCTCACTTGTTCTCTTCCACCACTCATATGCCCCTTTACGCAACAACTGGACAGCTAGCTCGGGGCGATCAGCTTCTAGAATCCTCAAGTTCTTTAGTACCCTCGTGGTTTGATCCAACCAGTCGAAGGCAATCTGTGGTTCTGCAATGTTGTCGCCAAGAAACTCCTCGGCGCCGTTATTCTTTAATGTCTTTAGGGTGACCTGCCGAGCCGGCGGCGGAGGCGGAGGTGGTGGCGGCTAGAACATCTGTGCTTGCTCCATCCGTTGTAAGAAGTGCATCATGAAAGCCGGTAATACGGGGTCCGGCTGGCCTCCAACATTCTGGTGATTTCCCTCGTTCTAGGGTACGTTCTGTTGTCCCGCGTTTTGTTGGGGCACGAAGCTAGATCCTTCAGTGTGGGCATCAACGTGTTCGTCATCGATGTGGTGGGTGTTACCCTGGCCATGGGTGGAAGCTTGACTCATTCTATAAGAATCCAAACTTTCCTAATCATTCAACAATGTATAATAGACAAAGCTTATTAACTTATTACCTTCCCGTGGCAGATGAGTCTCAAGAGATGCGGTGTAGCCTTTTGGAAACCATTCATTCGTGATCCGAATATCGTTTTTAAAACCATATGCTCTGATACCAAAATTTAACACCCCTCCGGTATCTAACACACGCTACTTTTCAAAACAATTTAAGAAAAACATCCAACGGTTCATCAAAAATCCAATATCGGAGTAAACTGAAATAGTGCGGAAGCTTGATAAGTAAATAAACGTAACTTGGGACTCATGCCCGAAAACGTATTAAGTTATTCATAAATAGTTAGGAGTTCTAGATCCTTCATTAGCTCCACCCACATCTCCTCGTCCTCATCTCCTTCCGGGATCGGCTCTAGATTCATCTTCTACCTGATTACCTGCGTGTAGCACACAAACAACTACACGCTGAGCATTGACGCTGAGTGGGATATAACTAACGTCAAGTAAACAATCAAACGAATCCACAATTCATAATAGTCAAGTGATATCATGCAATCAACACATAGTTCACACATACACAGTGCAACTCACACAATATACCTGGCGCTTCACTGTTCCATTCACTTCCAACCTGTGAGTTTATCATGCTTGGTGGATCACCAAACCCTGTCCCTATAACCTATCCTAGTCTAAGGACTTTAGCTTTACTATATGGGAGACATTAGGGTTCCCACTGGATCAGCGGGTCATGCTCGACCAACGAAGGAGTTATCCGTTGGGTGGGTGGAATCCCCACCTGATGGACCACCAGGCAGTTCAAGGCTACCCGTACGTACGTTTTTACCCGGTTTCACTTAAACATTGGAGCCCAGCAGGCATCCACTTGGTTTATACTCATAATTCCTATATTTGAGTCAGTCCCAAGGGCTCCCCCTGGTAGACTTACCTTACCCAACATGTTGGATCAACACGTGGTACACGTTTTCTGTGCGCTGGATCAGCCCACTAGTACTTGCAACATCATGAGCAATATGTATATATTTCACATAATTAACATGCGGTGGATCAACACCTTGTAGCAGAGATATATCATTTAGTTGTTGGTCTTGGGTGTTGACACCCCTGACTTCCCATCATGCAATACACACAAGCCTCGCAGTCCGTCCTCGGCGAAACATGGTTTGCTGTCCGGTTCAGGTACCTCACGGTACCTTAACGGTAGGGGGTACCGCCCCCACGGTACCAAGGTACCGTCCCACGGTACGTGGGTACCGACCGGTATGCCTGTTACCTTTGCACGGTACCCTGTCACGGTAGCCGCTACTAACCCGGCGGTAGGGCCTACCGTCCTTTCGGTACTGGGGTACTGGTTGGTGACAAGTACCGGCAGAGGGAGGTGAAAACGAGCAAGGTGACGGTACCTGGGTACCGTCCCGGCGGTACCGACCTATCGTTCGCCGCGACAGTTCCAGTTCCTGCACCAGCTCGTTTTCCTCTCAGCATTCAACACCGATTACCTAGTTCAACGTTCAAATATGATGATAAACACGTAATGAATATCACATAACCACGTAATTTCACGTATGTTCTAAAACATGAATCCTACCCATAGTTTCCATCAAACCCCAACAATTTCCGAGTGATCATAACGAATAGGTTTTAATGCAATTCAATCCCCATGACGATTACGAACGTAGATTTCAAACCTAATTGCCTACTCTAACGTTAAGGTTTCACGTACTCACATCGAAATGATGAAACTAACTCACGAACGAAAGGTTTGGACGGTGACGAGATAGCGGTGGTTGGCTAGCGACCTCTTCCTCTTTCCTCTTCTCTTCTTCTTCTTCTTCTTCTTCTTCTTCTTCTTCCTGGGCGCTGCAGCAGTTATCGACAGAGAGAGGGAGTGAGAGACGTGCGGTTATGCGTTGATATGTGTGGAGGCGTAAAGGGTTTTAGGCGTGTAGGCTTATATTTATATTTTTGGGGTTTTGGGCCCCGTATTAACTTAATGTACCTGGCCCAAACACACTTTCCAGGCCCAGGGGCTCCAAATCCGGATCTGATCGCGCCGTTGGATTCGTTCCGTCGAACCCTACACAACGGTATAACTTTTAATATTTGTTGCTAGCTTCTTTAACTAAGTCCCGGGTCCGTCTTAGTAACTAATTAATTATAATTAATTAATTCTGATAGGCTGGGTTTTGGGGTGTTACATTATGTGGCTGGCTGGTAGTCGGGAGTCCTGTCGGTGTCCTATTTGTTGTCCGGGGTTGATTGCGGTTATCCATGTTATTCTAGGCTAACTCCTCTTACAGACGCCTAGAGACCGCCTCCCTTTCCCTTTCAATCTCCTCAAGGTTACGAAGCTCACGAAAAATAGGACAGGATTGCCCTCCAACCGTCCATAGGGTCTGACACGTGGCTCTCTAGGTGTGTCACGGGGGGTCCGAGAAGGACCTAGCAGGGCTCTCTCTAACCTATCCATGATATTCCCCGTCATGTCTGCAATATTTTTCAAAGTCATCTCTAGCCCATTGGTTTGAACGACGACATGTAGCTCGGTCATTCTTGCCCCGACGGACAACTGCTGCGAGTTGGCAGCATTGCATCTGGAATTCCTTGTTCTTGTCCAGCCATATTTTCACAGTCAATATATCTCAATGAAAGCACCAATGATGTGATTAAGCCCAACAATTATGGTAGCACGAAGAACTTGTAGGTAAATAAGAACAATATACATCGAATATATAACTCGCATATACTTGTATTAGCTTGTTTCCGCTTAGGTTACATTGGAGGATACTTATATCCTATTTATAGTCTAACGCTACCGTGTACATAGTATGTAATTTGTATGCTTAATTGTCAGGTTGATTGGCTATTGTGCGTCAATTATGAGCAAAGAATCAGTCATCAATCGTTCTTCAATCCCAAGAAAAGGGGATTGCGCTCTCTTTATATTTTCGTGACCAATTTGCCTCCACGGACGGAGCTTGGCCCATCACCTCCTTCAATCCCCTGGGTTCAACCAATTTTCATAACCCGGATCTGGGCTTTATCTCCGTGATGGATAACCCGCTTGGGCGTCCATTTCCCGATATCCATCAAAATGCATAAAAAAGCGGAGCCTCCTTTCTTTGCCTCCATCGTTCTCTCGGCCTTCTGCAGAAAAAAGCCCACCAGCATAACTGGATTCGCCTATCATTCAGCTGCTGATCTTCTCGCCTCTGCCTGAAACAGTTCCTTTCGTGATGCTCCAGAACAGGGTCTCTAAATCAGGTATCATCGGCTGTAAGGTTTTCATCCGATACATTCCTGACCGTGTAATTTCATTTTCATTCAATGATTGCAACGAACTCCAAGTTCCATTTCCTCTTGTTTCCGGAAAGAGAAGAGTAATTGAAACCTTGAATCTGCGAAATCAAATGGCTTCAAAGGATGATCGGGACAACTTGGCTGAATCGCTTAATGACCTACTCACCAATGTCTCAAAGATGGTCAAAGGCGAGCTCTATGTATGTGAAATTGCAAATTCTTAGCCTCTATCTTTTCCATAGAAATGAGTTTTCCCAGTTTCCAGTCGATTTTGAAATTCTTAGGTTATTTTGCTCTCCAATTAGCTTATTTTTGTTCTCCAATTAGCTTATTTTTGCTCTCCAATTAGGTTATTTTTGCTCTCTAATTAGGTTATTTTCTTTGGTCTCTGCTATAATTTTCTTTGTTATATTAAGTGAATGCAGTATATTTTCTAGTACAGTAATTTTTTGATAATCCAGCAAGTAATCCCTATTAAATGATGGGCTCTCACTCAGGCTTTGACAATTGAGCGTCAATAAAAGAAAAAAGGTTCCCCTTTTTGTGGCTTCTTTCTCTGACTTTCATGAGAACTAACAATTAAGCTATTGATCAAATTTCAGGAAACCAACAATCTACTTGAATTATTGGAGAAAATGAATGCGAAAGTTGCCGAAGAATATGAAGGGTTTGGTGATCTGGCATCCGGCCTTAGAGTCTTCGTTGAGCAGCTCAAGTCCAAGAGCGGTAGCTTTGATGAGTATGTGCAGCAGATCGATGCAATTGAGCGGCAAGTATCTGAACTTGAAGTTGTCGTATCTATGCTTGATAAGTATGTTTCTCTTTTGGAATCAAAAGTAGAGTCTGTTTACCATGCCCCGTCTTCACGACTACACCTTTGAATGCATAATTTTTTTGAATACCATCGCACAAACTCTCCATGTTCATAATTGCTCTTGCTTACTCCTTTCTGTCCCACTAAGTTCTTACACGAGAGCCCATCATTAGATAGAAGAATTTGCCTTGAACACAGTGGGATGAGAGGAAAATTACACGAGATCTGTAGCCATGCATGCCCTTGCTTTCTTATTTTTCTTCGGTCCCAAAATTATGTCTTCTGTTGACTTGGTTCATATTATTTTTATACATTTACACAAATTCCAACTACATAGTTTTTCACTATTTTCTCATGCCCTATCAAAGTGTGCTTAAATTTTGGGACAGAGAGAGTATTTCTTTTTGGTGAAGAACATAATACTCAATGCGAGTACTTGATAGGCATGTAAGAGTGGGGCTTGTTTGCCTCATTTTCCCATATGGGTTTGGATAAGGAATGTGATTAGGTTTTCCCATTATTTTTGAAGAGTTTGTTTTCTACCTCTCAGGAGTCAGGCCAAGGTAGAAACTCAAAACTTAGGATTTTAAAACAAAATATTTTTAAGTATTTTTTCTTGTTATAACTCGAGTCTCGAGGTTCGTCCACGTACTAATATTGGGACCTATTCACTATATGGATAGCGTACCAAGTACTTACTGGCTGCTGCACAAGGTTGGCCTAACCATAGTAGTACTACTCACTACTTCGGGAGGGACGCAAAACGTTTAAGTTTCACTCTCATTATGTGGATTGGGAAGAAATGACGGATATGCGCAATATATATCGTTCAACCGGTTGTACGGTGTGTCTCTCGTACATACACAATGAATACTCATTTATAAGCAACTGAATATTCATTTTAGAGTAACATAATACTCATTTTCAAGCAAATGAATATCCATTTTCGAAAATCTGAATACTTACCGTTATGCTTGAAAATACCAAAATAAAAATAAATATTTTTTTATCTCCAAAATAGGAGTTACCAAACATTAAGAGATTCCTTAGTTTCAAAAAGAGGTTATTGGTAATACATTTCTATCAAAAGACAATGTTTGTTCAATATATTGAGGTTAAAGTATACAAAATTAACAAGAAAAGTCAATTGAGAAGATCAAATCCAAACACGGATAGAGTATTATTGAAGAAATTAGAACCTACATGAAATTTTATGCAATTGAGTGAGAACTAAAATTTATTTTTTTGATTAAAAGTTTTATAAAATCAACTTGTAAAATAATTAAAATAACAATATAAATTTTTAAAATCAACTTCTAAAAGAATAGTTACATTTTTCAAATAAAATATTAAAAAATTATCACGTAAATATAACACATGTATTTTACATCCAAAATTTTGTTCACTTGATATGAATTTATTTTTAAACAGCACAACAAATATAGTTGCAAGGGTTTTCACAAAGAAAAATTACAAAAATATTTTAAAATAATCATAGAGATTTCACTTTTGACTTCATTGAAGTCACAACTGCTACTTTTTTAGAAACACACAAAAATATTTGCATGGGATATATATAACATGCAAAACAATATTTGCAAAAAAATGAACCATGTATTTTTCATACGTGAATTTTATCAAAATTCTACATAAATATGAAGTGGGGAATCGGGGGCGAGGTCATCCTCATTCGAAATTTACTAGCGTAAACATGAGTGGCTAATAGAGGGACACAAAACATTTAGGTGCCCCTAAATGCACAATTGGGATAAAATTATAATTATTATAACGGAGACCTAAATTGGAAAAAGGTTAATCCGGAAGGATCATTTTGAAAAATTTTTCTACATTTAAATGTTGAAAATACCTCAATTTTCTCCATGGAACATCCATTTAACAAACATATACGGAGGACACTGAATGAGTAAATCTCAACTATAAAGTACTACATAGATAATTAATGTTTAATAACACTACCTTATTTGAAAAGACTATTTTGAGATTACTCAAAGAAATTTCTAATTTATAATTAAGTGATTAAAAAACTTAAGACTATATTTTCTAAGAAAATTATACGTGTCATGATTATGTACTTTATTTTTTGACAAATGGATAATACATATGCTATGAGATTGACTCAATGCATATCTTACCTAAAACTTTTTTTATGGTAAGATGACTAATTATGATATGAAATAAAAGTATTTCCATACAATTTGACTATTTTTAAAATATTGAATATTTAAAATAAACAAATTAGAAAAAAGATTTAATAAGACTTTTATAATTTATCTTGGTAACTTGATTTACTATTTTAAATAAAATAATCTTGTATTGAAACTTACGATTTACTCAGTACATACTTATATTGTGGTATAATTCAAAATGTTTATACATAAAATTATGAAATTTTGAATGAGAGAGGACTTACTTAATACGTTTTCATTTACGCAATCGTACATGTAAACTTCATAAGATGATATTTTATTTATGCAAAGAAGATTGTGACAAAGAAGATCAGGGTGTGGAGGAGGGCGTGAGAAGATTTGTGACAATGAAGATTTAGGATAATAAAAAAAGTAAGAAATATTGTGCAAAAAATCCAAGGTGCAATAGTTAATAAGTTCGAGAGTTAGTTACAGGTTACAACCACATCAAAGAAAAATACAATTTCCAATTTGTCACTATTTGCATTTTGATAGAACATTTTATATCTTGACCAGAATACTATCCCGACAAAATCATTGTAGAACTAATATTTTAATATTTTTAAAATCAATGTGGGGGAGAAGAATAATTGATTCTTAATATTTTAAAATTACAATTTTCAATAATAGAGATTTAGGATCACTAATTTAAGATTTTGTTTTTTAATAATGCAAGAAAGAATAATAATTTTTATNTGGAGATTAACAAAAATTCAGGGATGGGGGTAGTTGGGATTATGAATGAGAAGAATCCTATTTTTTAATTACTACCTCCATCCCTGAATTTTTGTTAATCTCCATAAGCGGTGCTAATGTCAATAAATATAATTTTCATATCTCCATATATAATAAAAATCCATAAATAAGTAAATAAATAATATAAAAAAATAAATGTCATAATCATGTAACAGTGCTAATCTTCATAAACGGTGCTAATCTCCATAGATATACTTTCGATATCTCCATATCAATACGCTACCTATTTATTTATCTTGATTTGACATAAAGTTTGCATCGAGCCGCGAACCAACATATCTATGCACGTGATTCCTTATCAATACACTATCCATTTATTTATTTCGATTTGACATAAAGTTTGGAAAATGAAGTTATTAATCCATTCATTAAAGGAAAATGCTAAAAAGACACCACGTGTGTGCCTCCAAGCATGCCACCCCATATATTTAAATTTTATTTTTTTTTTCAATTTTCCTTTTTTCTTAGGCTTTTCGTCTCCCGCCGCCAAAATTCCCAAATCTCTCTCCCTTCTCCCGCTTCAACCTCCACAAGCTCCCAATTCCCAAATTTTCCTCTTTTCTTAGGCGTTTTTCTTCGAGAATATCTATTCATATTTACATCCGTATGCTTCAGTTGCGTTTGAAGCTTGGCTTATGTTCGTCTGCTTGTTGAGCTTTGATTCGATTGTAGTTCGGGTGATTTTTCGAGTCGCCGTGTTCAGTTGCTGTTTGCTGCTGGTCTGCTGTGGCAGCTTGCTGGTATCTAGCGGTGTATGAAGATCGATCGGCAGTAGTCCAGCCCTCCACCTCCAGCGCCGGGCCCCACCCCTCCAGCTCCAGCGCCAACAGCCCCACCCCTCCAGCTCCAACGCCGGCAGTCCTGCATAAGCCTGAACAGGTACTGACACTAATTTCCCTTTCCTTGGTCTCTTTCTTGATCTCTCTCTGCTCATCATTTCAGTTTTCTTGGTGTTTTTAAATTGTGTGTTAATGTAGTTGTGGATTTGATAATGGTATGTTTGTGTAATTTCAAATCTCCATAATGCAGTTTGAGTTTGATGTTCTTTTTCATTGAAACTAGGTATTCCCAGTTTCTTTGAATGATCTAAATGTTTCTAAAATTGATATAAAAGCCATTCAAACCTAAAAGAGGTTTTATTTTGAATGATATAGATGATTAACTTCTATTATTTGAACTTCATATAAGATTATTGTCTGTGAAATAGGTTTGCTTGTTATTTTTGCTTACTGTGTGAATTGTATGTCATAGATGGTTAAGTTCTGTTATTTGAACTTCATATAACATTATTGTCTGCGAAAGAGGTCTGCTTGTTATTTTTGCTTGCTTTCTGTGAATTCTATCTCATAGACGATTAATTTCTGTTTATTGAACTTCATATATGATTATTGTCTGTGTAGATATTTAACTTCTGTTAATTGAACTTCATTTCAGGCGATGTCTTTGTTAATCCCTGTTTGTGCTCATTTTGGAGCTCAATACTCAGTTTGTTCTGACATCCGTGAAGCCATCAATAACATTGAGAAGAAACTGAGTCCTGGTCAATTAGAAGCATTTCGCAGGACTCCAATTGGGCACTTCATGGGGCTTAAGAACCTCCAGTTTTCTGGCCAGATCATTTACCACATGCTTTTGTTGCTTGTTGAGGATCAACCAGACGATGAATTCTGGATCCTCCAGAATGGTGAAATTGTCAAATTCACTTTCAATGACTGGTACAGAATAACAGGGTTGCCGAACACAAAGAAGTACCCAGCTCTTAAGGACAAAGATCTTGGACAGAGCTCATTATGTCACACATTCTTAGGAGGGGAGGTCACGAAGTGCACGTTCAAGCATGTACGAGAGAAGTATGTTGCAGCGGAGAATAGCATGGATTTGAAGAAAATGGTAGACTTTACCATGCTCTACTTCATTGAGTCTGTCCTTTTAGCAAAGGATAAATCTACATGCATTGAATCAACACATTTGCATCTTATAGAAGAGCCCAAAAAATTCAAATCTTATCCATGGGCTTGGGAGTTGTACTTACTTACCATACGACATATGAAAGGTGCAATGGATGGACAACCCGAAAAATTTGAAAAAAAGAGCAAGGAAACCCCAAACTACAAATCCTTAAAGTACACCTTCTATGGTTTTCCATTGCCTATTCAGGTTAGTATATGAACATAATATGTATTCTAAAACTTACTTGGAATAAGCACTATTTTGATATTTACCTTGTTTAAGGTGTGGGCTTATGAGTGTTTTCCGGAGTTGGTTGAAAAAAACCTTGTTATGCAAGAGGGAAAAGAATCTTGTGAAATTTTGAATTGGGCTTCAAAGAAGTTTCCAAAAGCAGTGACAATCAAGGACATTTTCTTTCGTGATTTGCAACAAAAGAAGGTAATATATTCACTGACTTTTAACCTCTGTGAATTTACATAATACCTACAGTCACTGTTTGGGATATATATGGTTTCTGCTCTTGTTTGTACACAGGATTCTGATGCCGACACCATTCGAGGCATTAGAGATTTGAAGAAAAGGATGGATGGACTTGAAGTGAAGATTGATGAAATAAATAAGTTGTTGGTGGAGGTTCTTATGAAGTTTAATTCAACCGATATGGGAAGGCAAAAGTCAAATGGCCGAAGGAGAAGATCTGTTAGAATTCAGAGACAGAAGAGAGAAAGGACAAAGGATGTAGTGTCAACTGCAAGTGATGGAGAGAGTGAGGAGGAAAAAAAAGAGGCTGCTGAGGAAGATGAGGAAGAGTTAGAAGATGATGATGAAAGCGAGGAGGCTGCTGAGGAAGATGAGGAGAAGACTGCTGTTAAGGAAGATGAGGAGGAGACTGCTGCTGAGGAAGATGAAGATGAGACTCAGGAAAATGAGGAGGAGACTGTGGAAAATCAGGAGACTGTGGAAAAAGAGGAGGAGACTGGGAAAATGAGGAGGAGACTGCTCCTCGGGAAAATGAGGACACTGCTGCTGAGCAAAATGAGGATGAGGACACTGCTGCTGAGAAGTCTCACAATGACAGCGACGAGGCTCATGTTGAAAAGGAGGCGACTGCTGAACATGTAATTTACACTTTCTCTGTTACATGGATTACTTCCAGAAATGTTGTACACCCTTTTTTGACATGTGTGTGTGTATGTTGCAGGAACCCCAAGACAACATGACATGACTAATGCTCTTCCAATTCCAAGTGATACACATATGGTTGAAGTTGATACACATATGGTTGAAGTGGACAAGCTTCTGATGGAATTGACTCTCAAAAAGGTAAAATTCCTTAAGTAGGTTCTATTTACTTACATTTTTATTTCCTTCGCATTTGACATGTGATGGAGGAACCTTTGCAGAAGAGAAAGAGACAAAAATCAAAATACTACTGCAGCCCCTTTACAGACCCCCCGACCGCGTAAGAATGTGCGACCAATGGTAAATCCGTTCACAATTGAAATAATAGTTGAAGATTGGAACAGTCTTGAAAGTTGGATAAATGAAGAAGACAATGTCTCTACCACGACAATTAAACTACAGTCCAAAGGTGTTGGCCACGTCAATCGAGACTTCTTCCGTGATCTTATAGATCAAGAAAAATGGTTAAGCAATGATGTTAGTAAGCTTTATTGGTTAAATTAATTTCCATATCATGACATTTAATAACTGGTATCTGTTATATGTTAAGCATCTGGAGGCTATTATGGACAATATGATGGAAGTTCTCAATGGGATAGAGAGCAAGAACTTCACTGTTGTTGGACCAGTGTTTGTGGTAAGGCCATTTTTCTAAAATTTTGATTGTGCTAAAGATAAGGATATGCTCAAAAGTCTTATGTTTATTTTGTATAGAACCACTTACTACGTATGAATGCCGATGAAAGAGTTTGGTCTAAGGAAAAGTTCTTAAGCAAGTTTGATTGGTCTGGCGTTGAAAAGGTAATATGCTTCTTCTGACTTCCATGCACTTAAACTCATGTGAATCTCTCTTCACATACATAAACTGTTGAGTCACAAAATGTCATATTTTATTCTCTCATTTCTTAATACCTTTAAGATATTTTATATGCATTTCATAACAAAATAAACATATTTTGTTATATTTAGCATTTTAGGATACTTTTTACATTTTATACATAAAATGCATGATTTTGATCATATTTATATTTAACAATTGTTTTAGAGTTTTATTTTCCTTAATGAATATTTTTAGATATATTGTGGTACACAAAAGGAAGATAACAAAGGAGGAAGAGCAAATAAAAGAAGAAGAAAAAAGAGAAATCTTCCGTGAAACGCAGGAGAGGCGCATAGTCCTTCCCCAAATCCAACGCAAATCCCAAGAATCCTACTCCAAATTGAAGATTCCAAACTCCACAATTATAAAAGGAGACAAAAGCCACAAGAAAAATCATCTTCTTCAAATAGAAAAGAAGATCGGAGACGGATATGAAACAGAGAGCAGAGGGAGATCGTGAAAGGCGAGCACGGCGATGACAATTCCGGAAGTCCGACGACAACCATTCCGGCAGCAACCATGGATTCCGAGCACGGCGATGAATGGCGGCTCAAGGTCGACATCTTGTCCCGATTTCTGTGCATCCTGCGAAGAAGACATTTCAAGGGAGAATTCCTTCTACTTTTCAGTTTTATTTTCTATGAATTAGGATTTTGAATTTGTTTACTTTCCAATTGATGAATTTGATATCCGTTATTTAAATATAATTATTTTCAATTCGAATTCTATGTTGAATGTTTAAGTCATAATTATAAATGTTGATTTGTTTGGGTGTTGATGTTGAATTGTTCAAGTTTTGATTTATTGATTTGTTATTGTCTCTGGAATTATAAAACCTTCTTAGGCTAAATCGTTTGATAAAAAGATTGTATCTTTGTTTGTTGAATTAATTTGACTTTGAAGAGATTATAGATCTACGCTACTGTTAAAACTAAATTCAAAAAGGTGTTTTGAGAACTATAATTCACTCGATTTTACTTAAATTGGGCAAAATTAGGACTGCAGACTAATCCAATTTAAAATGATATTCTTTTAAAGTCCAAAGTGCTTTAAATAGCCGAACTTTTCTAGAAACTAAGTGTCACTTGATTAGTATTTACTGCCTCATTAAGTTGTTTTTGCTAATCAAGGTTCTCGAACTGATTTTGTTAAATAACCGTAGTGTTACTGCAAAGTTGTTATGGTGACGTTTTCCACAAATCCTAATGCGCTATTCTTAGTAGTAACTTAAGGGTTGGTCTTTGGGTTGCTAAGGGTAGTAGGGTTTAGAGTTAGGGTTGGTCTTAACATTAGCTAATATGAATGAGAAAATAGAGAAGAACCGTTGGTGGACCTCTTCTTCAGCCCAACCCTGAGTTTAATTAGCAGTTTAATTTTAGAATCAAGCCATAATTATTTAATTAATCAGATTTGTTCAATTTATTTTCTATTAAAAACTATAAGTATTTTCAAAATGGTTTAAGTTAATTATTATTGTCTACGTTTTTATAAAGTTTATTGTGTGATTGTTTTTGTGTGTTCGTTTTCTCCCTGAATGTTCTTCTGAATTCAAGTTGCTGTTGTGGTTCCATCTCTAGACTGTTATCCTTATCTTTATTTTATTTGCATTTTTTTTAGAATTATCATTCAAACCCCCCCATATCCTTTAGTTTTAGGTTTTAGATTTTAGTTAGTAGTTTTTATTCCATAAAAGTGACGAAGTAATTTGATTTTCATAACGATAAAAAGTATCTTTCCTCGTGGGATCGACCCTTACTTGCCCTATCTATATGTTTTAATGAATATTGAATCATAAAGAGGGTTAAAAGTTAAGGAAAATAATTAATTAATTTGTAGGTGCTACGACACGCCTATCATAAACTGTCTGTGTGTTTTGTAAAATAGACAGTAAGCTCTTTTTTTCTCCCTTGATGCGTAGATTTTTTTGCCCGTGAATGGAGATGGGAGACATTGGGTTCTAGCTGAATTAGACCTCTTACGAAATCAAGTTCGAGTTTATGACTCCTTGAAAGGGCCGAAATCCTCATTTTACGTTCAAGACGTAGTAAGAAGAATACCCACCCTACTTCTCACGGTTAAGGGTGTGGGTCCAAACACTTTGGAGAAGGAATGGGAAACAATTGTTGTCAATGGTATTTCGCAACAGGACTCTAGGTCTGTTCGCCATTATTTCGTTATGGTACTCCCATGGAGTGGTGAAAATCATACCCCCTACTTATTTAGGTTCTATTTTCCCTTGTAGGTATAACAATTGTGGAGTGATGGTGCTAGCATTTCTAGAGTATTTGTTGGTGTGCTTACAATTAAGCCCAGACTGCAGTTCTGAACACATGGCTGATTTCCGATGTCAATTTGCAGCTAGGTTATGGCGTGGAAGGAAAACACCCAATATTTAGCATTTTTACTTTACAGTTTTAGGGGTCTTTAATTTTTGTGAAACTCTTTGTAATGGTTTATGTGCTTTGTAATGTATTTTTTGGAGAAACACTTTAGATTTTTTTGAAAGCTTTGTAATGAGGCTTTTATAATCATGAATTTGTACTTGATAATGCACAATGTGTTAATGTATGTGATGACTGATTTACATTAGTTTATGACTGATTTACAGATTTACTTTCAGAGCCCTCACAGAGAATAACTGTCTATTTTACCCATTTCACAGAGATTTAATGTATGTGACGACAGAGTTACATAACTTTATGTACATACACCATCTTCAGAATCTTATCACATATGTGGGGGTCTTGTAAAAGTAAAAAGAAAGTTAAAACGCATACATTAGATTTCAGCGGGCTCACATGGAATAACTGTCTATTTCACACACTTCACATAGAATTAATGTATGTGAAGTCAGAGTTACATTAGGTTTACATCAGTTTATGTGCATGGAACTCAGAGAAAGTTATCATATTTGTTACATACTTTACACAAAAAGCAAAAAACTATGTGATTTACAGTTCCCATGCTCAATCCAAAAATAAGAGCAAAGTTCTAGATCTGATGCCAAAAAAGGACGATTAAAAGTCAATGTAGTGAAAGGCCAAGCTCCAGACCTCCCAAGGTGAGGTCTTAAACACCATCTTCGTCTTGCACGGGCCAAGCATGCTGCCATTGTGATGCAAAGATCTCAGACGCATCCATTTTCTTCCTCTTATTAGGTAGGTTTTCATTTTTCTACCTTCTTTCGGTTTCGGGTTTTTCTCTGTAGTCCTTTTTATTGTTTTCTTTTGAAAATTCTTTTCCCTGTTGGACTTGAGACGACTCCTTCGTGGAGCTCCTTTGCGTGTGCCGATTATGGGGTCTAAGACGAGTGCAGTGCTTGTTGTATGTTCGGGAATTTCTTGCACTCCTTTGGATGGATTTTGGGTACGCTTTGCTTCTACAGACATCTCCTTCTGAATCCAATCCATTATCTCCTTTGTGCGGTATTCATCATATACGACTTTATTCGCCAAAGCCCGAAAGCTGTTACACAAGTCATCATACCGTTGTTGTTCGACCGTACATATCCAGCCATCATAATCTACTTTGACACGTGTGTATGCCTGCTTCACATCACGCCTCCATTGCTCTAGGATATACTTCTCAGGCAAAAACCTAACACCATTTCGAATCAAGACAACAATGCAATATCTACCAATCATCCCTTTAAACTCAAAAAGATGGCAAGTGCACTCCACCTCTTGTGTACATAGATCAAAGGCGACTTCATAAGACTTCCTCGTGCGAAACCCTTTGATGCACACGTGCTCCTCCACTACAAAAGTATCACCAATGTTGCTTATAATATCACAGTATACTTTCCCAAGAATTTCTGTCTTAAACTCTTTAAATTTGGAAATAGTGTATACGTCTTGAAGTTTTTTCTCCATTTCATACATAGTGACACATGGGATCATTTTTGTAAAGGAGCTAGCATCCGCTTGAAACTCCATTTCGAGTTTTTTCCTTAGCGCACGGTCGTATTGATCAACAAATTGCTTGAGTGTTGTCTTTGAATGCACGTAGCCATCAAAGAAAGCATTCATGCCTTCACTATGCTGCGTTGAGGACATACCTATGGAAGAACGTATTGTTTAACACACAAATGCTGAAATAGTAATTTAAACGTCATAGACTATTACTGTCTGTGAATAACACTCACACAGACAGTAATTGTCAAATTAAAAAAACAGAACACATAAAATAAGTACCAGCCCAAAAAAAAGTTTGTAGATAACATGGAACCCATCTCTCTCTCCAAGCAAACATCTCGGCCAACCATTCATTGTCATGAAGATCCTCATCCATAATCATTTCTCTCCAGCCTTGTTCAAATTCAGCGATAACATGAACATCATACACAAGGTCGTTTATCTTATCCATGTTTTCAACTTTATCACACCTGCCTCCTAACTTTTCAGGCAATTTGTTAAGAATATGCCAAAGACACCAACGATGTTTAATGCCTGGAAACACAATAGGAATTGCTTTCTCCATGGCTTGATCTTGATCTGTAATTATGCCTTGAGGTGGAATCCCATCCATACACTGAAGCCATGTCTTGAAAAGCTAAACAAATGACTCTGTATCTTCTTGTGCGATTAAGCCACAACCAAGCAGTACTGATTGCCCATGATGGTTTACACCTACAAAAGGAGCAAACCACAATTCATACTTGTTAGTCAAGTATGTAGTGTCAAATGTCACAACATCACCAAAGGATTTGTAACATTGACAACACCTATTGTCCACCCAAAACACATTTCTAAGCCTTGATTCTTCGTCCACATCCATGCTAAAGAAAAACCCGTCATTCTTTGCTTGCATCTTGTTAAAATATCCTTGTATTGCCTCTGCATCTCCGAGACCAAGTCTTAATCGTCTAAACTCTTCAATGTAATTTCGACAATCCTTCTCTATAAAGCCAAGTTTTTCATACCCACCCGCTTCCACAACGGCTGCTTGAAAGCTCTTGTGTAAGGGAATTCCTGCCTTGTCATTAACCTCAAGCTACTTTTTAACACTGGCGGGCAAACTACGATTACAACAATATATTCTAGATTTCGTAGGACTCAAGTCATAGTTATGCAATAACTGCACAACGGAGATCTTCCATATTCCATCACCATCACATGACGCAGTTACTCTAGCTTCACATCCCAATTGCATTGTTGGCCTCTAGTGGAACACATCTTGTGTTTTGCTCTTTTTATTTTCTTGCCGACTACACACAAATGTAACACTTCTAGGAGTTCCATCGTTGGCTTTGCGAGTTGTCCTAGTCCGCATTGGAAATCCTACACTTCGAGCATAAGCCAGATAGTGTTCTCGGATTTCTTCAATGCTTGTACACTTCATCCCCACTTCAGGCACGCTACCTTTGTTTCCTTTAGAAGGACACTAACCATTGTTCCAAACATCATTGTTAATGTCATCTGTGTTCTGTCCAATCTCACCACTCGCCTGTTCTTTCCCTTCATCGTTAAATAAATAGTGAAAGCAAGGATCGTTAAGAAACAAATCTGGTTCAAAAGCTGCAAAAAAATAGCACCTTTAATATAATACAGTGTCTGACTATGAAGAAAATAAAAATACACCAAATGCAGAGTGCATACAGATTATTAGCATCTGTGACAAGGACAAACCCTAGGTTCACAGAACTTTAATCTTTGTAACACCAAAACAAAACAGTATTTTTTCACTACTTCAAATGAATATAGAATGAGGTCTAAATATCAACACTTACAACTAGGCTGCAAGTCATATAAAACCAGGTCTTCTTCTTCACCACCAAAATCATGTGGTTGATCATTCTCAACATGTGTAACAATACATATACATGTTTGTAAGTCCATAATCACCAAATACCCTATGTACTTCATAAAAATTCAAAAAATTATTGCTATAGAAATTGACTAAAAATGAAATGAAGAAAGAGATTGAAATTGACTAAAAATGGAATGAAGAGAAGAGATTGACAGAGGGATGATGGCGCATCAGAGATATGAAGAGGAAGATAAGAAAAAGAAGATATTACCTGCCTTGTAGGAAGGAGAGCGCAGAAAAGGGAGAGGAGAGCCGTGCGGCTGGCTGGCGCGGAAGAGCAGAGCCGCCAGAGCGACGTAGAGGAAAGAAAAAAAGAAAAAAAAGGAGAAAAGGTAAAAAAACAGGTTAAATAAGGAGGCAGCAACGGAGGCAGGGGCGGGTGCACTATAGCACGGTCCTTCATTAAATGCTTGGAAAAAGAAAAAGTACAAATTAAATGGATTTGACATAAAGCACATTGAGCAATGAGATATATTTGAAACTACTTTTACTTTATGGAGAAATGCACCCATGATTTGACCAGAAGATGTCCAAGTAAGCAACCGCGTTAGTCAGCCCACTTGGCCCGGTCCATACCCAAACTCATTACCCGTCCGTTTGCCCATTTGGCTCGGTCCATACCCAAACTCACTACATGATGGTTTTGGCGGGAATACTATTCCCAAAACCATTCTAGCATTGTATATAGTAGGATTACATCAGAAAATAACTTTACATATAGCTATATTCAGATCAAAACTTATTCTAATCAAACTAGAACTATTCCGATCAAATGAAAAGAACAAGCCAAATATGAATTCTTTTTTGAAAATTTAAAAAAATTTGGGATCATGCTTGGCGTCACTGGTTGGGTTTTCAAAAAATCGCAAAATTTATTCCATTCCCTCCGAGGGAAAAGTTGCATTCTCCTGCATAAGGAAGCTGAAAGCTGCGAATTTCCGCTTGTCCAACAATGGTGCTCCATCAAACCAATCAACTCTCGTCCCGCAAACGCCCCCCCAAATCCAACACCAACAATTTCGTTCCTCCCTTTGCTCACCCTGCCAAAATCTCCAAAACCGCACCTGCCGCCGCACCCGCTACAGCTGCTGCTGTTTCGCAATCAGCGCCTGCGCAGAAATGCCAAAGCATGACCGCTTCCGATAAAATGGTCGCAGTTCTAGCTGATGCCGGATGCACTCTAATCAACCCGTCCGGCCCACCGTGCCTACCGTCTGACCTCCCCAAGCTCCGCCACCGCCTCAACCACCTCTTCTCATCCGACTCCACGTTGCGCTCTGAGTTCCTACGCGGGCTTTGTTCTTATATTAGCTTGCCCAATAATCTTCGCCGGTCAGTTTGTTACTCTCTAACTCCCATTACATCTTCACATTTTAATCTGTTTATTGTTTACAGAAAAATAGATAAACAATCATTATTTTGATGGAAAAATCAAGAGTTACGTTTAATTGTTAGTGAACATTTATATTTGATTGACCGGTTTCTGTTTAAATGGGAGTCGTAATTATACATATAGGAATACTTTTGTTTTTTCGGTAATGCTTTTGAATTGTATTTTGCTCAAATTGTGTATGAAGATGATTAACTTAATAGTTTTGGAATGTATCATCATCACTAGAAAATGTTGCAGAAGCTTGAATACTCATTCGGAACTCAGTTGTCTTTGATTCAACTTTCTTTTCCTGCATTTCGTAGCTATTGAATAGTAGCCAATATAAAGTGTCATAAGGTTGTCCTTAGACAAAAAATAAATAATGCTGCTTACGTTGCACTGAAGCACTACATAGATTACTAAGAATTATTGTCGTACTTTCTTTTTCTAACTTAGAAATGAATTAGGAAGAATTACAACAACAACAAACCCAGTATTCCAGTAAAATCCCACAAAAATAGGGCATGCGGAGGGTGTGTGTATACATACCTCACCCCCCTGCTTGAAAGTAGTGAGCCTCTTACATAAAAGATTGCAGTGCAGTGGTTTTTTTTGAATTTCAGCATTAGAATGCTGTGCATACAGATTTTTTTTGTTAAACTTGAATTTCTCTCTGCTTGTTTTCATATTACTCAGTATAGAATAAGGGAAATAAGAGGTTAATAAAATTCTTATTACATGTTTTGGACTGATGCTTTTTTTTAAAAACAGTATGTTATCACATTCAAATCGTGATGGCTTGGGTTCAGTGAGAAGTGATAGTGTGATTAGAATACTGTTACTTGTTCCTTCTATTCAGTTAGACATTCAAAACATGTTGCTTGAGAAGCTTCCAGAATACTTTGATCTCGACGTTGGTGGATCATTATCGTCTTCCCGATTCGAGGATGACATTGCCAGGCTAATATTGAACCAATTTCGGTGGCTTGATTTCCTTGTGGATTCCGATGCATTTATTGATCGATTGTTACAAGTATTGTCAATTTGCCCTCATCACTTGAAGAGGGAAATAATTGGATCCTTGCCTGAGATTATAGGGGACCAGAACAACAAAACTGTGGTAGATTCACTCCAACATATGCTTGAAGAGGATCCCTCTGTCATTATTCCCGTGCTTGACTGTTTTTCTTATCTCCATTTGAATGACACTTTGAAAGAACAGGTTCTTTCTTAAGTCTTTTTTATTATAAAAACAAAAGCATCAATTTTTTTGCGCTAATTTGTTTTCTTTGTGATCACATTAGCTACTTGACCAATATTTGTTTTCTTTTTCTCAAATTATATTAAGGCTGTTTCAATAGCATTATCTTGCATCAGAACAGCTGATATGGATCATATGCCACACCTCTTGAGATTCTTATTGCTCTCTGCCACACCTGCAAATACCCGTCGAATAATATCACATATCCGGGAACAGTTAAAATTACTTGGAGGATTTAGTTGTCAAGCATCACAACAGGGTAAAATGAAAGGGAAGTCTATTTTAAAAAATGGGGATGCTTCAGTTCTTGATGCTTTGAGATCAAGTCTTCAATCTAATAAAGTCAGTTCAACTGTTCACTATTCTGATTTAATCGTTTCCATCCCAATATCTAAACTTTGAATATTTAAATTTTGCAATTTCATTTGACCTGTATGGCATGGCAGATAATTTGTCAGGAAACATTAAAAGAACTCAAAAGCCTTGAGAAAGCTCGGGATCATAAAGCTATTGATATGTGGCTACTCATTCTAATATACACAAATAATGAGTCTTTGCAAAAAAGTGTTGAAAAGTTACTGAAAAACAAAGTTGTTGAAGGTTTTATCGAGAAAACATTGTTTGATAGATATGTTCAAGGGAATAAGGCTGTGGCACAGGTATATGTGGAAATTTAGATTTCATTGCAAAAAAAGTGCTTATTGTTTACCTTATGAAATATGAAATTCTTTTATGTGATGCAGATTTTATTCTTGTGATATATTAGGATTATCTTCCCACATTTATCTCCATTTCTGGGTACTTATTGGGGTGTAAAGAACAAAAAGCACATGAGTTTGGCATTCATATGTATAAATGTTTATTTGAAGAGTTTGCGGATAGCTATTCAAGACAAGAAGTAAGTTCATCCACACAAATGTAATGTCTAACAAGTGAATGTACAATGATTTTTTATCATTTTAATATCTTAAGAAAAAGAACATCCTGTGGACTGCACTCATCAACTTCGTCAACAATATTCACTCTGAAGCTTTTAGGAGCACTTGTCACTCATGTGGGCTCTGGTATTAGTCATGAAGTGAGCTCTGGGTTGGAAGCCATGGAACTTCTCGCCTCCAAGTATTCCCATGAGTTGATTCCTCTTTCTTCTTACATAATGGGTATGAATGCTGATCTATTATTTCATGTGGATTGTTCATTGTATTTGCTTCTTAATTATTTTCTCATTTATTTCAGGTATATTGGATTACTCTGAAGGATTTAGCCTTGAAAATTTGCACAAGGTTGTAACTGCAGTTTTATGCCTTTTTAACCATGTGATAAAGCAAATTATAAGAATTTTTTATTATGGTAGCACTTTTTTTCATCAGGTATATGAAGCTTTTAGCCATCTTGCTCTATCAGCAAGATCTCATGCAGGGTCCATATCTTCTATTTCAAATGAACTTCTAATGATTGTAAGAAAGCAGGTGAGTGGAAAAAATAACACCAATGTCCATTTCATTCACCTCCAATTGTTACTTATCTGCTTCAAATATCTTCACAGGTGACTAATCCTGATTTCAGATATAAAAAGATGGGCATAATTGGGATGGTCAAGATAGTTTACTATTTTGGAGCTGAGGTGGTTTATACTTCCCAACTCTCATCTCAGGTGAGTTTAATATCCATACACAATTGTATTGGAATCATTAATCTTTCTCAGTTATCATTATGCTTGTGTTTTGACTTTTGATAACTTTTTGATGTTGAAAGACACATGAATCATTCTGGTTCTCATTTGAAAAATTACATTCTCTGCTTCTTATTATAAACCCTAAATTGCTGTTACCAAAAGTATAAACTCAAGCAAGCACATCTGGTGTGTGTTATTATTGTTTTTATATTGCTAACATTCTCCTTGGATTACATGATGTTTTTTCCTGCATGTCTGAAATATGATTACTTTTGTTTTAAATTCTTGTGGTGTGATGTGAATAATAGAAGAAAGGGTTGAAACAATGGTGTCAAAAGAACCATGATGAGATTAATTACTACAAAAATATGAGATAAGGCGGCCATGTCCCGAACTGAAAAAGTTATATGAAAACATATCAAGATGAGCAAGGACGGTTGGACGGAAAAGAAACAGGATGATGGTCATCGATATAAGTCAAATTTTAATCATTGACTTGTCGCTTACTGTCAATTCTACTCATTCAAGGCTGACAGACATTAGGTCATCATGGAAACTTTTTAAATTTTCACCCATGTCTGACATTTTTTACTTGCATCGTGCGACATTTGGTCGTCATGGAAAGTTTTTAACTTTGCTCTATAAGCTAACAGAGTTAGCTATTAGTTCAACTACTTAGCAAATCATAAACAAATGAATTTATTCATGATCTTTTCTCCAATAAAATGAATTGCAACTTGAGGTATGCCTATTTCAAGGAGGTATTTCATGAAGCCCAGATCCTTTATCATAAAATTACGATAAACTAGACATTAATGAACCAACCTTTGGGGGTATTGGATGAAAATATACCAACTTTTTTTGGATGCTGACATACTGACCTATGTAGGTACCAAAAGTTGTTTTCATTGCACATTGTGACACATTGACTGCTCACTAAGTTTGAACTCATCAAAATTTGGCTTTTGAAGCAAACCAAGCTCCTCTTTGTTAATTAGCCCCACATTTTTTCTAGAAATCAAATCTTGATGAAGCTCTGGACCTTTTGAGAATATCATTGGAATCTTGCGAACAAATGCCATTGGCACTAATTATGTTATATGATGAATTGGTTTTGACATTGAAAAGCCAGACTCTTCATCCATCCATTACAGAAAGGTGGGTAAGTGTTTTTTTGAACTTAATTTGTTTTAATGTAGCATATGAAGCTAAGTTTGTGTCATCCACAGGATTGCCAATTGTGTAGGAGATTTTGAATCAAAGTATTTATCAGATCTTGATGTTGGTCAGCTGCCAAGTAAAGAGTTGCATTGTGGTTTGGAAGGTGAGTGGTACTGAAATACATATTCTATTTTCAATTTTCAAATTGAAATTTTGTTTTCGAATTTTGATAAAATATGTGATTTTTAATGTTTACATTCCAGGAGAATTGTGGATGAACCTGGATGGGGATATCTCTCCTATATGTGTGAACTTCTTGCCACTTGTTTCCTCTTTATTGCGGTAATTTTACATGTCATTGCTTTTCTAGCGTGATCATGTTTCTCCTTCAAATTTCGAGTTCTTGTTTGTATAGATAGATTATTAATTTTTCTTTTCTTCATGCAGGTCTGCTCCCTCACTGCAAGTATTACCTGCACATATCAGCTTGCTTTCTACAGTAAGTATGTGGTTTTTAATCATAGCATGCTTTAACTAATGTACTACTTTCATACTCTTCTCTCGCCTCTTTTGCCAGATTGAGAGATTGACAAATCAAGGATCACTTTTAGGCATTGATGCACTTCTTGGCTGCCCTTTGCATCTCCCGTCATCCAAGGTGAATCACTGAATTGATTCTTTCAAATATTTTGATTTTGAATTTTGATGTATTTGGTCATCTTTCATGAGCGTTTTCACCCTAATGAAAAATTCCCCTCACCTCTGTTGGATTTTCCATTTTTTCTTTCTTGTCTGTCCTAAAAAACTTTTCTAGTTTTCATTTAAGGAAAGAAATGTGTGGGTCTCATATATTTCCTCTTTCTAATAAACTTTGGGGACTTCATTCTACCACTAAGTCAAACACCAAATTATTTAGATGTCTACTAAGCAAAGTACTGGACTAAAGCCCATTTAACAACAAAACAATCTTTTATTTATTTATTTTATATTTTGATTTGTGACAAACATGGATATATTTAAATGTACTCCATATTTATTTTATTTGTTTATATCATTATTAGCTTATGCTTTTCAAGCTTTGACAATACACTTTGTGCCAGATTTTTTTAAAAATATTTTGCTTTGTGACAAACTTGGAAATATTTAGATATACTCCATATATTTTATTTATTTCATCAATATTAGCTTCTGCATTCTAAGCTTTGGCAACACACTTGTGTCAGATCTTTTCTATACCTTCTTGGGAGTCATTGAATGGGAATCAAAAACGAATTATTATTCTTTCATTGTATTACGCTGCTAATTGGATCCGAGAACTAGTAAGTATCACTACTTGTATATCATTCTAGGTTTGGTGTTGAGATTTCTTGCAATCATTGATATTTGACTCTTGTTCAATGACATCTAGCTCAATGCCTTCTACTCACAAGTTACTGACAAATGTAACTGTGTAAGCCAAGAAAGCAAGGGGGGGATAACTCTTAAACTACTTAAGCGGCTGAGGAATCTTTTGTAAGTTATTATACAGTTGCTACATACAATAAAATATTCCTTCAAGATTTTGGTATCTCGTATAATTATATTGAGTAATTATTTTGGATCAGTACTCTCTCTCTTGAAGAATTTGAATTCTATATATTTTGTTATTCCAACATACGCCTTCCATAGTTTTGAAAGACGAGAGGCAAGCGAGAGGACCTTTTTTTAAGGTGAGCGGCGAGGCAAGTGGCGGGCGGTTCAAAAGGCGAACACTGGGTGTGTATAATACACACACACACACAAAGTATATTTGAAATATATAGTTATGCAACTTTCGACGTTGAGCCGGGGGTCTCTTTGGAAACAGCCTCTCTACTTTCAAGTAGGGGCAAGGTCTGCGTACACACACCCTCCCCAAACCCTACTCTTGTGGGATTTAACTGGGTTGTTGTTGTTGTTGTATAGTTATATATTGCAATACGTGGAAACAGCCTCTCTACTTTCGAGTAGGGGCAAGGTCTGCTTATACACGCCCTCCCCAGACACTACTTTCGTGGGATCCAACTGGGTTGTTGTTGTAGTTAATTATACATTTTATTTCTTCAAGTCTTAAACACTACATTAGTGTCAAAGGAAAACAATATCTTGCCAGTACCACAAAAGGGAACATCATGGCATTATATTATTAAAGACGAAAAACAAATATAAAGTTACAATCATTTGCAAATTAAAAAAAGGAAGAAAATTCAAGAGGGAGATGAGTTGTGGTAGGGATATAGAATTCCTCGAGTGGTTCGAAACTGAAGGATATGGCAGAGAGGGAATCGACGAAGAGCTTCGATGGAGGTACTGAGATCGAAGAGTTGAGAGATCTTCGATAGAGATAGTCTGATCAAAGGAGACGAGAGAATCAATGGAGAGCTTCGTTTGTTGCGGTCGTTCACGGGTACGAAGGGGTTAGGTCTTTTGAAGTCATTTACTCAAGCCACGTAAACGCAAACGTTTTTCCCCTTTTTTTTCTTGGCCAAGCTGTGAAAATTCTCCAAGCATCGCCTTGTGTACCCTTCTTGTCCAGGCTGTGTTTTTAAATCATCCACCTATATTTCATGCATTGGTGGTTGTGCTCTTCAATAGGTGGCATAAGAAGCTTAATGATAGGAGTGTGATTATTGCATGGATTATATTGAAACACACTGATTCCCTTTTGCAAAATGATAACCAGTATGACCAATAAGCAGTCATATGCTCCACTATAGAGATGTTTTACAACTGGACATGCTCTCTCAAGTGGTGACTAAGTTGGAACAAAACAATGTTGACCTCATAAGAGGACTAAGTACAAGATTCAGCTTCTCAATCATGGATAAGGTCCAACCTATACAGAAAATTACTCCGGGGTACCCTTGATTTTCCAGTTAATAACTCCCACGTCCCACATTATATTAAATATACTCCGGGGTATCCTTGATTTTCTGGTAAGAACTATAAGTTCCCACATTATCCAAAATATACTCAGAGGGTCCTTAAAATTTGTGGTTATGTATTCTGAGGGTACATTTCGTCTATTTCACCTTCACGATTGAAGGTTCTGTTACTTTGGTAAATACTAAATTTCACATTCATAACCATCATTTTATTAAATTTAAATTAAAATCTTCAATTTATAAAAGTAAAAGAACTTTTAATCTAATGCCCAAATTGAAAGAATGTACCCTTAGAGTATAATATTACAAAATTTAAGGACCCATAGTATATTTTGGATAATGTGGGACCTAGGAGCACTTACCAAAAAATTGAGGGTACCCCGGAGTGTATTTCAGATGATTTGGGACCTGGGAGTTATTATTAGAAAATTGAGGGTACCCCGAAGTAATTTTTTGCAACCTATAAGATGGCAAGTTCCAACAGCTGGATGCAGCCTTCCTAAATGGTAGAGTTGCAGGAGGAGCTATCTTAAGGACCTGTTTAGTTCGGGGGGAGGGTATGGGAAAGGAGGGAAAATGAATCACTCCCCTTTGGTAAATTTTTTTTGAAGGGAGAGGACCCTAAATATCCCATCCAATGCCCTCCCCTTCCCTCATTTTCATTCCCTCAGAATCCAGGGTTTTCTTTGTCTCCCTCCTCTCTTCTTTATCTTCCACTTCATTTCTTCCTCTCCCTCTTCTCTTCTCTTCTTCGTCTTCCTCTTCTCTCCTCCATCTCCCATTCTTCCTACTTTGTGGTCCTCTTCTGTATTGCTCTCTCCATCTCCCTCTTCTCTTCTTCGATCTTCTCTGCTTCGTCTTCTTCTTCTTCTCTCTCTCCCTCCATCTTCTCGTCTTCGATCTTCTCTGCTTCGTCTACCTCTCTCTCCATTTCCCTTTTCTCTTTGTTGATCTTCTCTTCGCCTTCCTCTTCTCTCTCGGTCTCCCTCTGTTCTTCATCACTAGGGCCGCCCTCCTGTTGGGGTATCTAAGAATACTGAATAGCAAACCACAACCAAACAGGAACACACACAAAACAGAAATCAAAACGGAGAAAAACGGAACACAAGATTTATAGTGGTTCGGTCTGCTGACCTAATCCACTTTGCAGCTAGGGTTTTGATTATCCAGGTGCTCACAGAATTACAAGTACAGAGATCCCTATTTATGAAGACTAAACTAGGGTTGAAAACTTAATCCCCAAGTTAGGCCCAAGCCCACATAGAGAATTAGGGCCAGCTAAATTAAAAACCTAATTTACTGCCATATGGGTCGAACCAAGACTAGGGCCGGCTGCCCTTCCTGGTCGAGCCTCCACACTCAATTCGCCCAACAATCTCCCACTTGGAGGCTCGAACGATGCCCCTTACTCTTCTTCATCTGTAACTCTTGTAATCCTCATTTTCCACTAGTTGCAGCGGCCTTCTCTTCAGTTATTTGAAGGCTCGTTGAAGCTCTCACTGAGCTTCAACTCATCAGTCACAACCCGTGACTCGTTCTCTTTCTCTGCTAGCTCCGAGTGTGACACATCTATCACTCTCCTGGCTTCTAAGACAAACTGAGAACCTGCATTCTCCAAACCAAGCAAATTGTTAACAGGAGAAACATTCAACGCCGGAATACTAGTTTTCCTAACCCACTGTCGGATTGGGACTGAAGCACGACCTGTGCTCCCACTGTCACAAAATTCCCTGATTGGTTGAACCTTACGAGCTAGTTCATCCTGAATCTGTACTCTTTCTCTGAGTTTCTTCTTTGCAAAGGTAACCCCCTTTAGCACACGAGATTCTTTGAACCAGACCTTTTCTTTTACAAAAACTGGACTTGCTCCTTCTGGAGGTATCTTGACCATATATAACGAGCCCCTTTTCTTGCCACGAGCAACAAGATTTCCTTTGACCACCTTCCATTGTCCACCACCAAATTTAACATCAAGACCCGAATCATCCAACTGCCCAACTGAGATAAGCATCCTCTTCAAGCTTGGAATGACTCTGACGTTTTTCAAAGTCCAAGTGGCTCCAACTGAAGTTTTCAAGTCAATATCCCCCATGCCCGTAACATCCAGAATTTCATCGTTACCAAGTCGTACCTTACCAAAGTCCCCAATCTTCAGATTCTTCATCATCTTCATGCTGTGTGTGGCATGAACAGATGTACCAGAATCCATCACCCAGGAATCTATACTACTCTCTACGCTACAGATTAGCACATCATCACTATTGTCTGAGCAGCTTTCTGTAGTGTTCACTTCTTTTTTACCATTCGGACACTGACTTCTAAAATGTTCCGTCTGTTTGCAATCCCAGCAGACAATTCCTTTCCGATGCTTGGACTGACTCTTGCCTCTACCACGGTTGCTTCCTCTTTCATTCCTTCTTCCTCTGCCTTCAGTACTCAACAGTGCACTCGAAGAATCCCCTGAACTTCTGCGTCTGATGTCTTCACCTAGAATCAAGTCCCGAATTCATTCAAAAGTAAACTTAGTAGTACCAGATGCACTACTAACTGCAGTCACTGTTCCAGATCAACTGTCAGGCAAAGAAGATAAAAGTAGCAACGCCTGAAGTTCATCATCAAACTTAATTCCAACTGATCCTAACCGAGTTATGACCGAATTAAACTGGTTGATGTGAATGGTAACTGAAGCACCCTCCCTCATTCTGGTGTTAACCAATTGTCTGATCAAAAACACCTTGTTCAATGCTGAGGGTTTCTCGTACATATTCGACAAAGCTTTCATTAACCCATGCGTAGTCGTTTCATTGACTATGTTGAAAGCAACACTCTTCGCCAATGACAACCTAACCACTCCCAAAGCTTTCCTGTCCAAAATCGCCCAATCTGCATCACTCATCTTTTCTGGCTTTTCTCCCGATAACGTTTGGTATAAGTCTTTCTGAGAAAGAACACCCTCAATTTGCATCTTCCAAAACCCAAAATCACTTCCATCAAACTTTTCAATCTTTATCTTTTCATCTGCCATTGTTTCCATACACGGCTGAAAAACTGATCTGAGATTGAAAAAACCAATAACGAACTAACCTTGGCAGCAGCTATTCGGAACCCTAGCAGCGGCGGCTAAACAAAACCCTAGCAGTGGCGGCTGTTCGCAGCGGCGGAGCGGTTACTGTTCACAAGACAGTACAGACCCTATTCTGCAGCGGAAACTATGACGGTGGCGGAACTAATCTTCAAACCCTTCGAAACCCTAATCTTCGATTTGAACCTGATCTCCACGAACCCGATTGAAGACTTCAACGATCAAGAACCTCAAAAATTGCAGCAGCAAACTGAACAGAAGGCTGTTCGGACTGCCAACAGATGACTGCTGTCTCGGTGGTCGTCTGATGTGTGGACAGAAACCCTAGAGTCGCTAGGGTTGGCAGTGGAGGCTGATCTGTGTGTACAACCTAGGCTCCGATACCAGTTGTTGGGGTATCTAAGAATACTGAATAGCAAACCACAACCAAACAAGAACACACACAAAACAGAAATCAAAATGGAGAAAAACGGAACACAAGATTTATAGTGGTTCGGTCTGCTGACCTAATCCACTTTGCAACTAGGGTTTTTATTATCCAGGTGCTCACAGAATTACAAGTACAGAGATCCCTATTTATGAAGACTAAACTAGGGTTGAAAACTTAATCCCCAAGTTAGGCCCAAGCCCACATAGAGAATTAGGGCCGGCTAAATTAAAAACCTAATTTACTGCCATATGGGTCGAACCAAGACTAGGGCCGGCTGCCCTTCCTGGTCGAGCCTCCACACTCAATTCGCCCAACACCACCTTCCTCTCTCTTCCTAACCAAACAAGGCGCGGGGCTCCCACTTCCCGCCTTCCTACCCTCCCCTTCGATCCCCTCCCCCAACCAAATAGAGCCTAAGAGACTGCAAAGGGCACGTCATTCATGGAAGAACAATCAAACTAGAGGCAAAAGATAATTTCTTAGCAGAACTTTAAACAGCTTACTTGGACTGCAATCGGCATGAACACAAGGCAAAAAAATCATTCTCAAAACACATGGGAAAAGCCTAGCGAGCTTTGCAAGCAGCAGCCACCAAACATATAATAATATGGGCAATATTTTTTACAAAGCTAATCAACGACACACACACTTGAAATTGCCTACTTGGATCGCAATGGGCAAGAACACAAGGTAACAACATCATTCTCCAAATATATGTGGAAAGGGTAGAAAGCTTTGTAAGCAGCAGTCATCAAACCGTTGATAATATGGGCAACTCGCCTCCAAATCCGTTTCCCCTCGTAAAGTTGCCCCCCTTGCACAATAAGTTATGGATCACACGGTGGAACCTTGATCCCTTAGAGTGAAGAGGCTTTCCGGAATTTGTGATTCCTTTCTTTCTGATGCAGAGTGCGCGGAAATTCTCAGCGGTCTTAGGAGTCTCACACACACACATATACATGTATATGTGTATGTGCGTGTTGTTGTGTTCTTGTGTCTCAAATACACACACACACATATATTTGGGTAAAATTTCATAATGGTTTTATTGTCAAGACACTCCACACCACACAACAAATACTTGGGATTTGCTCCTTCACATGATTGGGAGGGAGCAAAAGATCAATATAATACTACAATTGTTAGTGCAGCTCAAAATCACTGCAGTAAATCAAAAGACAAATGCTTGTAATGCAATGAGGGGATTAAGTTGAGATGGATCCCAGCAAAAAGCAGCCATTCTTTAATGGGTTTTACATTTTTACATGGATGGGGACACCCGGAGATGTCAAAAAACCTGAAGTCAATCGATCTGCCAAAGCACATTAGTGTTGTTCGGGAAGCACGGGTGGAGCAATGGTACGAGTGTTGTAGGATTGACAGTGGCGACACTTCTGCCCAATTATATGGAAGAATACTTCTGTGGTGTCATTGTAGTCATTGCATAATATCCAAACCTTTCGGTCTCTATAATCTTCAGGCATTACTGTATGCTCAATCTCTTCATCCATTTCTTTCCAAATACTCGACATGTCTTTGGTTGACTTGGAACATATTGGGCAACAGTACTTTTCACGCTTTATCAGCTCACTGAAGAACTCATAATGTATAGTGTGCCCACATTTCATAACGGTTGTGTCTTTCAGAGAGTCAAAGAGGTACTCATAACAAATGGGACAGTGATGCTTCATGGAGTTCTCCACACAACAGTGGTTGTCACACAGACTAACTGCATAGCAGGACTGCAGGAGCCGCATTTTGTGCAGTGAAAAAAGTTTTCACGGCCTCCAACTCTGCATATTCCACAATCATCACAATGAAACTGCCCTTTCTCTATATCATCATCGAAGAAATTACAGATTCTGCAAAAATATTCTCCCATATTAACACCGCAGTTTGAGCAAACTTGAGCGACTGGTTGCTCCGTGTCACAAACTGAACAGATCACTTGTTTCACCTCATGCCGTTGCAGCTCATGCCTATCATTCGGATTCCGGAGCATGCTCGCGGCTTCATTGTGACAGTGCCGGCAGTCATAGACTTCATTGCAGCAAGGTGCTCTGATCCTGCACCATCTCCTATAGTGCTGGTATCCGTAATCCATCATCCCAAAACCAAGTCGATCGTCGGAGGATGCTTCCATTTCCAGCATCAATTGAGCAAGCACCTACACCACACCTTGGAAGCAGCCTTTCTACTATCGAGTGGGGGTAATGTGTGCGTACACACATCCTCCCGAGTCCCGAGACCCTATTCTCGTGGGATCCAACTAGATTGTTGTTGTTGTTGTGTGTGTGTATATATATAGTTATTAGTATTAATATTATTATATTAGGTAAGTATTGAGAATATGGTAGGTGTTATTAGTATTAATGTTAATATATTAGTTAAGTCTTGAGAATATGGTAGGCTTTGATTTAGGCATTAATAGGGTTGATTTAAATTTCTTATATTAGCACCCTTCTTATGTATATATAGTCACTTGTTTTATGTAATTAAGTGAACTGTGAAAACCTCTGATTATTTCTAAATGGTATCAGAGCTAGTATGTTCAAGGGTTAGGGTTCCTTTTCTATAGACTAGGCTGCTGCCATATTGACGCTGCCTATAAGGGTGCTCGCTTGACGTCACTGCCACCATGGGTGGAGTCACACGTTGCAGGAGGAAAAGTATGGAGAATCTCTCCTCTCCTGGAGACCTCGCGTGCCGCCACGACTGGTCAGATCCACCATTGAAAACCATTGTTAGCGTCTCCTGAGTCATCTTAGCACCTGTGTGGACTCAGTTTGGACATCCAGTGGGTTATTTTGTTCATTCTTCCCCTGCTGTTCAGTGATCATTTACTCCTATGATGGCAATTACGGTTTCAAGTAACAATAGTGCTTGTCTTGTTTCGTCTTCCTCCAAGTGGGTTATTGATTCCGCAGCCACTGGTAATTCTAGTGTCTTCTCTACTTTTCAGCCCTACATATCATCTTCCCCTGTTACCCTTGCTAATGGTTCCACGTCTAAGGTCCTTGGGTCATTCTCGGTCATCTTTACACCCAATATGCACTTGTCGTTTGTCTTGAGTTTACCCCACTTCTCATTTAACTTGCTATCTCTTAGTACGCTTACTCGTGATCTTAATTGGTTTGTCACAATCACATTCTTTTATGATCATTCTGTGTTTCAGGATCTTACGAAAAAGAAGATTATTGGTGAAGGACGTGAGACTAATGGCCTATATCTTTTCAACACTTCATTCCTAAAGTAGCTGCTTGTGTCGGGATTGAGTCACCTCTTGAGATTCATTACCGTTTGGGTCATCCATCACTATCCTTGTTAAAGAAACTTTATCCTCAATTTCATCATCTTTCTATTTTAGAGTGTGAGTCATGTCGTTGTGCTAAACACCACCGTGTTAGTTTGAGTCCTAGAATAAATTTACGGGCAAGTGCTCCTTTTAAGTTGGTTCATTCTGACGTTCGGGGTCCTTGCTTGGTTGTGTCAAAACCTGGATTCCGGTACTTTGTTACTTTTGTTGATGACTATTCACGTATGACTTGGCGTTATTTAATGAAATCCCATTCCGAGTTATTTACCCACTTTCATTTTATTTTGTGCTGAAATACGAACCGAATTTAACATGCCTCTTAAAATCATGCGTGATGATAATGCTAGAGAATATCTTTCCACTCATTTCAGTCCTACATGCGTGATCATGGCATGCTGACCATGCTCAACCAAACTTCTTGTGTTGATACTCCAGCCCAAAATGGTGTAGCTGAACGTAAAAATCGACATCTACTTGAAACTGCATGGGCACTCTTGTAATTGTTTTAATTAAAAGTGTCTAAGTTGTTTTGGGCTGATGCTTGTGCCACGACATGTTTCTTGATTAATCGCCTCCCATCAAGTGTTCTTGGTGGTCTGCCCCCCTTTTCATAGTTCTTCCCTTATAAACCACTGTTTCCTGTCTCACCAAAGTTTTTTGGGTGTTCATTATTGTAAGGGATGTCTGTCCATGTGTCACCAAACTAGATCCAAAATCCTTGAAGTGCATCTTTTTGGGATACTCACGGGTCCAAAAGGGATATCGTTGTTATTGTCCAAGTCTTGGTCGATACCTTGTCTCCATCGATGTGAGTTTTTGTGAGCATGTTCCATTTTCTTCACCCACAGAATCCTTAAATGAAGGGGAGGGTTCGGATGATATTTTGTTCTACACTACATCTAGTACTACATTTGTGCCCTATGTTGTTGTGTGTCTCCTATCACTCAGGTTTACTCTTGCAGAAAAAGACCAGCCAGACCCTCACCTCCCTCACCTACACCTGTGCCACCCTCACCTGTCCCTCAACCCTTTTCTACCACAATGACTGTGCACCAATCTCACGCCTTGAGCCAAGCACTTTGTCGGTGGATCATGATGATGATTTACCCATCTTTTTGCGTAAAGGTAAGCGGTCCTGTACCTACCCTATTTCTAATTGTGTCTCTTATGATCATTTGTCTTCTCCTACTTGTGCACCCACCTCTTCTCCCCATTCTATGCCTCTTCCTAAAACTATCAGAGAAGCACTATCTCATCCTGGATGGTGTACTACCATGATAGAAGAGATGGATGCCTTGGAGCACAACCATACTTGGAGTCTGGTTCTACTGCCTGTCGGTAAGAAATCTATTGTTTGCAAGTGGGTCGTCTCTGTTAAGGTTAATCCAGACGGGTGTAGATCGTCTCAAAGCTCAATTGGTGGCGAAAGGTTTTGCTCAAACCCTATGGTGTGGATTATGATGAGATGTTCTCTCCTATGGCCAAGCTCACCTCTTTTCGCTTTGTTATCTCTATGGCTGCCTGCCACGATTGACCACTACATCAGTTAGATATCAAGAATGCCTTTCTTCATGGTGCTCTTGAGGAAGAAGTTTATATGTTCCAACTTGTATTATGCTCCAACTTGTATTATGTAATTAAGTGAATCGTGAAAACCTCTGATTATATATATATATATATATATATATATATATATATATATATATATATGATCTTAGTCCTCTTGTTTTGTTTATCATTGTTTAATTCATTATGATTAATCAAACCAAATACCTCACTAACACCATCTCTTAGTCATGTCTTCTATGAGACATCATTTCTCGGAGGGTCGTGAGTCTCATGGTCATATTTATTCCTTAAATGCTTCGCAGGTAGATTTTGATTGTTTTACTCCACCCTAAATGATTGGAACCACTATGTTTGTGCTTTTGATATTTGCGATTAATCAGAGCACATTGTTCTTAAAACAACAAGTTAATTTTCACACATATTTGAATAAAAATGAATCAAATTGGAGTATTAAACCAGGGAAAATAAGAATAAAATACAATACAGTGATAATTTGAAAGACCATTTGGAGGGAAAGAGAACACAAAAACTTATTCAAAAGGTACAAACTCTAGCACGTTGGATCATGGAGGTCATTGGAATTTTGGGATAATAAAAATGAAGAGTAGGGTTGCATAATAGCCACACATTTTGAGGAGGGCTTAGGGCGGGGTTGGGGTGGGGGGCAGGGGCGGGGCTAGGGTCGGGGGTTTAGGGGGTGGGTTAGGGTAGGAACCATCAATTTTACAAACGGAGCACCGCAGGTGCTCCAAAAATACAGTGGCACAACTAGTGGCACCGTTAGCTAGTGTCAACGGAACCGTGCCCTAAAAATGAAACATGGAGTATTTTCTCTTGGGTAGAGGATGAATTTTTTGTTGTGTTCTTATTATTAATTATTGCAATATATAATTCTTGATTTGACTTACTCATTTTATATCAAATTTGTGTTCCCGTATTGATTTTTAGTATGTATATAAACATTTAAGCGTTATAGGCTTACAATTATACGTCAATGGTAGGAATCCCCTTTGAAGTGAAAACATATTCATCAGCAGGTTCATTGATGAAATGCATTATCTTAAACAGATTCTGATCAGATTATTTTTTCAAACTAAAGTATCAAGCACTCTGATGATTTTCTCAAAGATTGTCGTGCTCAAATTGCAGATTTTTGGAGAGCCTGCTAAACGATTGTCTCAAACGTTACCCATTTTCCTTGCCAGATCTTTGCCCTTTGGAGCCTATATCACAAAACCTCTTACAACAGAGTATGAGTTATGAGAAGGGCAAAGAGTTAACTAAACACGATGGAAGTTCATCACAATGTAAAGGAAAGAACAAGAAAAAGATGCCAGATGTGTCTGCAAGCTCAAAAACAATGGGAAATCTGAAACAGCAAACTCTAACAGATGTGTTGAGAAAAGCAGGTGTTATGCCTAGCCCAAAAGTGCTAATTGATGATATCTCTAGAACGTGTTCAAAGGGAACCATGGTGGAGTTGTCAGGGAATAGCCAGGATAACATCATGTCCCCACTTACTGTAGAGATTTCTTCCGCTGCAAACTTACTAGAACGTCAGAGATACAAGTTCAGACCTCTTCTTCTTGAGTGTTTTGTCAGATTTTCATCATTTAAGGTAACATCTGTTTTTATACTCTGTAACTAATAGCTTCATTTGATTTTATACAACATGGCTTATATTTTTGTCACAATGTCACATTAGTCTAAAGTTAAAAATGTGATGGTGGAATGATGATGTCGACAATGATTATATACGAGTAGTAACTGCAAAGAGATTGTGGTTCAATTATGATGACGCTGGTGGTGTTAATGATGACTATTGGTTGATAGCAATAATAATTAGTTAAACATTCTGCATATGACTTTTTTGTAAAAAAGGAAGTCACATTTCATATATTTATGCATATGACTTTCGTGCATATGACTTTTCTAACATCAAAGACATTTTCTATTGTTATCATTTTCATTTGCACGTTAGACGCATGCAAATTTGAAAGCAACTTTTGGATATCTTTTTCTAGCTTTCCGAATTTAGCCTAAGCGACCCTAAAGGTTTCTTTTTTGAACTGTAATGATTTAACATCTTGTTCACATGAGTATTTGGACAGCAACACAGGAGGCTAAGTAATATACTCCCTCGGTCTCACAATTGATTACAATGTGCATCACGATAACTTTTGTTTGTTGGTGCGTTTTCATTTATTATTTGATGAAATAAAATATCTTGTCACCTATTGCTTCGTAGAATTGTTAATGTAGTTTTTAAATATGCAAGTTTTATTCATTATTTCTATACCAATCTTTAAATAAAATGTTTGAAAAAACTTGGGATTTTCTTTGTTTTGCGCAATTTGTAATCTATTATGGGACCACGAAGGTCCTGGAGTGTATCATAGAGGCAAGGTTGCAAAAGGAGGTGTCTATTTCCGAGAAGCAATTTGGCATCATGCCTCGACCGTGGAAGCTATTCACCTCTCATGGAGGTTGATGGAAGAGTATAGAACTTAGGACTTTTAGAGATATGTAAATTAGGGCAATGACTAGAGTGAAGATTATCGGGGGTGACTCCGATCCTTTCCCTATAGACGTGGGGTTACACCAGGGGTCTCCCCTTAGTCCCTTCTTATTTGCCGTGGTGATGGATGTTCTATCTTCTATCGGATAGGGTCCTAGAAGATGTTCCTTGGTGTACCTAGAAGAGGTTCCTTGATGTATGCTTTTGGCTGACGATAATCATCGAGACTCGTGAGGGACTTAATGACAAGTTGGAGGTGTGGCGCTAGTGCCTAGAATCCAAAGGCTTGAGACTGAGCAAGACTAAGACTGAGTACTTAGAATGTGGTTTTAGTGGTCGGGTTACAGAACTAGGGGTGGAAGTTAGGATTGATTCACACGTAGTGCTTGAGATAAGTTCTGATATCTTGGCTCGGTCATTGAGGCAGATGGAGAGATATATGGGGATGTTGTTCACCGTATTGGAGCTGCTTGGGCAAAATGGAAGTTTGCGTCAAGAGTTCTGTGCGACAAAAAGATTTTAAAAAGGATGAAAGGGTAGTTTTATCGATCCGTAGTCAGACTGGCTATGCTTTATGGTGCGGAGTGTTGGCCGGTTAATAAAGCCCACATCAGTCGACTGAAAGATGCGGATGCTGCGATGGGTGTGTGGGCAAACAAGGTTGGATAAGATTTGGAATGAGGTTATTCAAAGACGTGTGGCAGTGGCACCTATGGACGATAAACTGCGACAGGTTAGGTTGAGATGGTTGGTCACGTAAAGAGGCGTGCATATGAGGCCCCAGTGAGGAGGTACGAGAGGCTTACGATAGTTTGTGGGTGTGGGGCAGGGGTAGTGATACAGCACAAGAGAGAGCCACACCCTAAAAGCTAGCTGCTAAGGTGGGAGAACCCTTGGCTATATAAACCCATCACCAAGTCCCCTATTTAACCGGTGTGGGACAATGAAAGCAGTCCGTATCATTCGACCCCCCATAAGGCCCAATGTCCTCGTGGGTCACGTCTACGTTCGTCACGGCCATGTTGGTCACAGACGGTTTCACCAGGCCACCACTCTGAGTTGGCTCTGATACCATTGATACAACACAAGGGAGAGCCACACCCTAAAAGCTAGCTGCTAAGGTGAAAGAATCCTTGGCTATATAAACCCATCGCCAAGTCCCCCATTTAACCGGTGTGGGACAATGAAAGCAGTCCGTATCAGGTAGTCCTAGGAAGAATTGGAAGGAGGTGATTAGGCAGGACTTAGGACTTCTGGCTCTTACCGAGGATATCACCTTAGATAGAGATGTCTGGAGATATAGGATTAGGGTAGTTGGTTTGTCGTTTGGTCTAGGGTGGTAGTTTTGTTCGTTTTGTTTTGTGATTCGTTGGCTTGGGGTCTTTGTGCTTTCATTTATTTGTGTACCTTTTTGTTGGGAAAATTGGGTAATTTTCCCACTAAGACAACACAAATAGTGAAATGAACCAATTCAGAACAAATGAACTGGACAGAACACTAACAGAGATACCCGACAAATAGTATTGAATACTATACTACAACTGAAAAGAAAACAACATAACAACAATAAATAGAACGGAATAATAAATGAGATAAAGAGAGCACACCCAAAACTTTGTTAACGGAGTTTGGGCAATTTAGCCTAATCTCCGAGCACCGCTCAAAACAGCTTGCTTTTATTAATGTGGGAGAAGATTACAAATTGTGGGGATGCTAAACATAAAGGGAGAAGGAGTTATTATATAGGCATTAAAACTCCCTCCCTAAACAAAAAACTACGGTGTGGGATGGCCAAACAATAAACCCACTTATATAGGTTACAACTTTTGCCCAAAAGAAACAACCCACCGATGTGGGATAGGAAATTAGGCCAAAAGGCAACACTTTTGTCTTATTTCTTTTTTCTTACCCTTAGTGTGCTCTTTATCTTTTTGTCATGCTATCTGTTTTCTGTGTTTGCTTGTGTTACTTGAGCTGGGGGACTCTTGCAAACAGCCTTTCTACTTTTAGTAAGGGCAAGGTCTGTGTACACACCTTCCCAGACCTTGCTATTGTGCGATTCTACTGGATGGTTATTGTTGTATATGGAACGAAGGGAGTAGTTGGCTCCTATGTAGTACATATTCTTTGGCAGGGTTCTGGTTTCTTTATGCAAACATATATGATATTGGTACTCTCAAAATTTCTCTTATGGTCACTTCCTCCAGTATTGAACCATGTATGCCCTCTCCAAAAGAGAGCCTTCTTCGAACAATGTACAACTTATAATATTTTAGTTATGTACAACTGCTATACATTATTAGTCATACTTGTATCGTTTTTTTTAATTTAATATTCATACATTATTTTGTTTGTTTGTTCAACTAAATTTACTATATTTAATTTGCTTGTGATTGTTCAAAAGAACTCTACCTAAATAAGACAAACATGAAATTTATACCAAAATAAGACCTATGTTTTTATCCCCTAAATCGAAGTGTTTGCACTGTAAATGCCACGATTTGGCGTTGTGTGTTAGCATTTCACAATGTTATCTGGCAGTATGTGTTGGCATTATAAGTCCTTATTTGGTAAAAAAAACATTGAAGCTCCTATTTTGGTATATGAAGCATGTTTTAGTCATAGTTAGATTTTCTCCATTGTTCAATGCCAAATTACATGAATATTAAAACTGTTTGTTGAAACATGACTTGGACATTATTTGAGTTCTAAAGTTGTTTATCTTTTCTTTTTCAGCCAGATGAAGGGGCACTTTGGTACTATGGTTTAGTTGTTTGTAGTTGTTGCTGTTAGGAGATTTGTTGGGAAATTTTAGATTTTGAGTGTTTGTTTGAGTTGTTGCTAATGTGATTCACAATTAGTTATAAGTTGATTTTTAGACCTGGCAAAGAATGACCCGACCTATTTTTGACCCGAGACCCGACCCAAAAATACTGGGTTTTGAACAAAGGTTTTGCTGACCGAACTCGAAGTTGACCAAACCTGAAATGACCCGCTAAAAATGTGTCAAACCCGAACTCGACCTGACTGACCCGCTAATCTAAGATTTTTTCAGAATCATACATTTTAATATGAAATATAGTATTATAAAAATAAGATTATAATTATTTTTCTTTGCTTACTACTTATTTTTTGTGTATAGATTTAAACCATCATAACAAATTTTAATGATGTCGCATAATTATCTTACATTTTTTCAAAATTTCTACGTATTTAATTTTTTTATTTGTAATATTGACACTAAGTCATAAAAATTACTTAAAATTTCAAAAAAATAAATGAAACCCATAACCCGTTGGGTCAACTCGAACCCGATGATACTGGGTCATGAACATGTAGTTATCAACCCGAACTCGAACTTATCTGAACCCGAAGTAACCTGAATCGAATGTGACCGAACCCGAACCCGACCTGACCGACCGATTTGTGAGGTCTAGTGATTTTTTTTAAAAAAGTAGGGTAGTATTTGAGAAAGGAAAATGTTAATTTATTTATTTTTATAAAATAATCTATTTACAATTATACTTTATAAAAAAATTAAAAGAAATCTACTCTAATAGAACCAAAACATACTTCTCATCCCCAAAATAAGAATGACATATATTTGTCCTCGACCTTTTTTTAATACCAAAATCTATATATTTATATTAAATATGAAATAGTTACAAGTGGGACCCTAACACTCCCAAAGTACAAACAAGACTAACGGGTAAGAGTGTAAGACAAAACAATAAGCTAGTGTGCCTCCTTAGAGCAAAACATAGAGAGCCCAAGTTCATTGATTTCCTCCTGAAAAGCAATCTTCTTAGCCTTTTTGCTAGACCAAAACCAATGTTGTAGGGTGTTGTAGGCTTGGTGGGCATTATGATTCAAATAGGAAAAAGTAGGAGTGTTTTTGGAACAAAATTATCACTGTAGCTGAATTGCTTCAGTAAATCTAAAAACTCCATTTTGGAACTCTACTCATGAAATGGAATGCTACATTGAAATGGAGCCACTGAGTGCTGAATTAAACTCACCCGGAGCATTCAAAAATTGCTTATTGTTGCATGCAAGTACCATATTATCAAACACCTGCTTTTGACCAACAGTTTTCAAATGCAGGCTCAAGATTCATTATGTCTGGATCCAGCTGCTGAGGTGATATGTCTTTTCAGTTTGGATTGTTTACATTCAAAGTTCAAATTCAATTGAGTTCCTCTTGGTTAAACCTTGACAAGGGTGTATTTAGGAAGAAATAGATGCATCTTCACTTATAGGGTACTATGGCATTTACATATGTGCTTCATTAATATCTTTTGATCTGTTTAACTCTTTCTTTGATGGCCTTAGTTACCACTCCATCTTTACTTCCTACGTGATCGGAGCAAAAAGCTGGATTATTTTAGTCTGCACAATAAACAAATAGCAAAGTGCTCAAGTTTTCCACCCAGTCTCGGCAGTACGAATGTAACAGACTTCATAAATGATGTTCGCATGCTGTTTCCTTCTCTTAAAAAAAATCTTGATCTCGTGCTTTGTATTCTCAGAGAAGGTACAGAAACATTAATGAAATCATTGCTTTATAATGTTGTCTTCAAATTTCAAACATCTTACACAAGCTTTATATAGAAACTGAAGTATGTCAAGATCACTGGAAAGTTCACTCTGCTGCATCTCGAAACCCAGATGTTACAAGCATTCTTTGTTCCACATCAAAAGTTTCCTACTCTGTCTTCAAGGAGACACTGTGCTGCTTCGGAAAGGTAAAACACGTCACATGTTTTTCCACAGAAACAGTATTAGGATTTCTGATGATTAAACTTTTTCTTAAACTCCCCCCCCATCTGTCCCAGTTTGGGTGGACTGGAGGGTGTAGAAGAGTGCAAAGGAGAGGAGTATATAAGTGTACATATTTGTACATGTTAATAAGATTGTAAATTTTACTTCTTTCCACTTTCTTTTTCTTGTACTTTATCCCATTTTCTGGATTTTGTTAATTCAGATGGTACAAATTTCAGAGATTCAGAGAGAAAAATTAGTCCTTACTGATCTTCTAGAGGCTTTCCAGCCATCAGGGTTTCCAGATGGCTTCTTTATGGGCATGCAACATATATCTCCTGGGAACATAGATTATCTATATTCAGGTGCATATTCTTTCATTGAAGGAACATTCGATGCAGGTTTGCAGCTAACTTACTGATGTTTTCACTTTCCACATAAATGTTTCTGTTGATTTTCCTAGGATATACTCCCTCCGTCCCGGAGTATTTGTCCACTTTTGACCTTTTTTGGTCAAAATTTGTAAATTTGACCCTAAATTAAATAAAAATGATAGTAGATATTGATACAAAAATAGTTTTATTAGATTTATTATATAAAGTATTTTCAAAATATTATTTTATATAATTAACATACTATATATTTTATTTAATTATATGTCAATAGTTGCAAACGGTCGACTAAAAAAAGTCAAAATTGGACAAATGCTTTGGGACAAAGGTAGTATATAATATGGAATGCACTGAATATCTATTTTTATGGCAGCATGCACCATTTCTTTTACACTGTCTGCTGAGGTAGTGCTGGCCTTAGAAGCAATATTGTTGTCGATTCGAAAGATTGTAGATGATGATTTATATGAACCTGGAAAGAACATTCAGAAAGGATGTATCAAAGAGCTTGTTCCCTTCTTATGCAAAAAGCTAGCTTCGACTTCCAAAAATCTCCTGATTCAGAAGTACGATAGTAAAAATATCGAAGAGGATTCAAAAAACAGAGTATGCATATCTATTTTTTGTTTTCCACTGTAGGAGCCATTTTATATTTCAAGCGTCGAGCTGTGATTCCTTGTGATTTTGCAGCGAGAACTTGTCCAAAAAATTCTTCGCATTTACTTGGAAAACTGCCAATCCACATGTGATTCTCTAGATGAGCTTGCATGCTTAATCATGCCCCAGGTTCATAAACTTTTATGAATATTCACTTCTTACTTGCTACAAAAAGATTTATAAGTGGAATAATATCACCTCTTGTGTTCTTCAAAAAAATATAGAACGGGTACAAAAAATGTTGGCTTCCCTAATATGCCATATTTAGAAATGTTGTAATGATAGTATTTATAATAATGAGATCCCCCTAGAGTCCAAGTCTTCTTCCAAGAATGATCCAAATTCCAAATTGTGCCATATATGTATATTCTTGTTTCATGGAGAATGTTGGCTTCCCTAAACCCTCCCCCTCAAGTTGCAGCATAAATATTTTTGGTCAACCATTTGGTGCTCCTGGTTTCAGAAGCTTTAAGAATGGATACAATGACCGAGTGGAACATATTATAGGAATAACTCAGTGAAACATCCTGAAGTAACAAAAGCTGATGTTAGTCAAAACTAAGATGATATGATTTGTTTCTTAAAAGAAAAATATATTTGTGTGGGATGGAGTGTAGGGGATAACTTCGCCGTGAGTACTGAGGAACAAAATTATGAGATATTGAGATGGCTGATTTAAGTAATTTAACACAAGAACTAAACTAAGTATTCCAAATGACCAATGGACGTCAGGCAAACCGGGCACCATTGGATCCATATATGGAATGATTAATAGTTTGGTGTATAGGAACTGCTCAAGCGCCAGCACGTGAGGCCCACATTGCTCCTAGGAAATGTATTCCGATAGTGAACTTGGGATCGGAAGACACCACGTAGATCGGAAGATGATAGTGTTGAAGTTTGCCTTGCAAAGGGTCTTAATAGAAACCCTAAGGTTCAACTTCTATGAAAGTTTTTTAAAGAAGTAGAATTATGAGTTTTTTGAAATTGTCAGCTTTTTAAATAGAATACTTTTAAAACACCAGCTGTGATACCATGTTACAAAGTATAGAATGACTACAAAAGTTTAGATTAAATTGTACTCCCTTCGTTCCATATGTTTCTTCTCACTTTCCTTTTCAGGCCGTCCCATTTGATTCTTCTCATTTCCTAAAATGGAATTAAAATACACCTAACTTAAACTTTTACCCTCCCTTCTTTTCTCCTTCTTTCTCTTGCCCATCCCCTTTCTTGTTCTTCCTTCTTTGTTCTTTCTTTCTGTTTTCCTTCTTTGTCAATCCACCCCCCACTCACCCCTTTCTTCTTCTTCCCGTTACCACCATTCTCCTTCTTTTGGGTCAGGCTCGGAGGCTCCCCCCTCTCCTTCTCCTTCTTCTTCAGATCTTATAAGTTATAATGTGATCCGTCCAAGCTCGCTTCATCTTGATTCCAGATCTTAGTCATTTGTTGACGCCCGATCGCCGCAACGAAGCTTCCAGATCTGATGAAGATGAACCCTTTCTTGAAACCTTTTTCTTTCCATTAGAGTGATAAACTTTCTGCCGAAGACGATGCCGATGATGAGACGAGGCACGAGCTTCAGAAAGAGATGAAATCTCCGGTCTGAAGAAGAGGATTTGATGTATATTCAGAGATTTTATTTTTTACTCCCTTCGTTCCAATTTAAGTTGCCTATTTACTATTTACGGAGGGAGTATTTTATTTTTGGGGGTTGGCTTCAAATTCTGTTAATTTGATGTATATTGCTGAAATCTTTTTGGGGTTGACCAGATTCTAATTTAAGAGTAATTTGTGTGTATACTTGTTATTTTTTGTTGTAAATGAAGATGAGGAAACATACCTTCAAGAGAGATGACTGAACATTTTTTTTATTTCTTCATCTTTTTTTCATTTTTTTGATTTTTTGATTTTGTTGAAGAGATTTTGGATTTTGATGTTGAAGAAGAAGACATCATGAAAGACGGAAGAAGATTGTGGGTCTGAGACAGAAGAGAACAAGGAGGGACAAATTTGGAAAGTCAAAGTATATTTCACTTCACATTGAAATCTGTGCCAAGTCAAAATAGGAAGTTTCAACTTGGACGGACGGAGTATAAGTTATACGGTTATTTATAAATCATAATAAAGAGATCCCCTAAAGTAGTAAGAATAAATTCTATAAACAGTCCTATATAACAGAGGGGTTTTTCACATATAGTCCTCTAATCCAAAATATTATGTTTCTGGTCCTCAATATTTGAAAACTATTCCATTATAAGGACTTATCATGGAATTGTTCTCAAATATAAAGGACCACGAACATAATATTTTGGAATAGAGGACTATATATGGCTTTCCTTCCTATTATGCAGGAGGATGCTGGTCAGACTTAGAGTAACTTTACAGATATATATCATTTTGTAACTGTATTATACAGCTATAATCTGACATCTCTAACTCACATTCCATAATAACTGGCCTAGGCTTTACAGTTTCCAATTTTTAAAAGCTAGGTTGATGTTTGTGAATGACTTGATTCCACTTGAACGTTATACATAGCATGTGTAGTTTATGATAACAACTTTCAAGATCATAGTATTTTTCTTGTGTCTAGGTGACTTCACAGAGAAGTCAGGCAGAAGATAGTTGTAGCTTTCCAAGCCTCTGCCATACAACATTTATTGCTTGGTACCGGGTGATGGTGAGAGTCTAAATTTAACGATTGTGTATTGATATAGTTATGCCAGGCAGATTGACTAGAAGTGGTTTGTTGTTACAGCACGAACAGAATGTTTCGACACTTAATAGATTGGTGGGTTTCCAATTACTTTGTATATTTTTTAACAAAGCAGTTAGATGTAGTTATTATTTTTTGTGTGAACTTTAAATCGCTTATTCCATATGTAGGTCAAGGACGTTTGTAAGCTGGAGAGTGCCACACTGTGCACAGGGCATGAGGCGAACTGCTATTACCAGCAAAGTTCCATCCACAAAGAGATCTATGGAGCGCTTCCTCTTTCATGTCAAGGCACTCCATTTAAAATCAAGCGGATGTACTTTTTGGATGGGTAAGTTCACTTGATGTTATATACTAATGACAATGAGACTAGCTAAAGTTCTTATAGTCCTCCAAGCACTTGAAAAGGACGTATTGTTTTGCCCAAATTATATTTTTTGACATAAAAGATTTAAGATATGGGTGATTGATTTAGCTGGTTTGTAAGTAGTGCCTTTAAGATGTGATTGTTGATAATGTCTTAGCGAGTAAATAATGAATGGAATCAGAATGGTACATTAACTTCCTTTGCTTCTTACTTTCTATGATGCTTTGGATAGTAAGTCCAGCTATGAATCAAGGGTCTAACAAAAAAAGCCTATTTGTTTTTTACGGAGTGAGGATGCATACATCGTGACCTCCAGACTTCAACATAATTGGGGTTATTTTGGGTTTTGTTGTTGTACAAGTGGTGCATTCGTGTTTCTTTGTCAAGGATTATACAACGACAACAATGCCAACATACCTAGAGAGGCTGTTTCCAAAAACGTGAAGGAGATTAGAAGAGTTCAACAAGAAAAGGACAGGGAAAAAGAGAAAGTTATAAATGAAGATAATCTATCCACAAATAAATAAGAGAAGACAAAGAAAACACCCCCTCAAACTTAGTTACAGCCTATAAATTGCATTTAGAGCAAAGAGACGCCTTAACCCCAACTATCTGAAAACTTTAATTCTCGACCTCCATACTATCCCATATAATTTAAGGTCCTTGGTGAGCTGCAATAGCCTCAAATTCTAGAGTCTTCCTCTCCTCAAATGCCCAACCTCCAACCTCTCGTAAGTCGTACCTCACACTCACAGCTCACCCTCATATATTTTCTGTGCTCCTCCTTTTCACATGCCCAAACTACCTCAATCTTCATTCCTTCATCGTTCATCCACAAAAGCCACCTCCACCTTGTCTTCCAACACATTTTTTCAAATCGTGTCCCTCCTAGTAACACTGCAAAAAACTGCTAAAATTGTGACGAAAAAAATCCGTCGCCAAAGCTTGATTTCCGCAGGTAATAGGTGTAACGACGGAAATAACGACGGTTTTTTTTCCGTCATTATTTTTTCGTTAGTATTAAAATTAACGACGGTTTTTTAAATCCGTCGCTAGGCAACGACAGAATTAGCGACGGAACCTGGCGACGGTTTTAACAACGGAATAGTTCCGTTGCCAAGTTTAACGACGGAAATGCCGACCTTTATAGCAATCTGACCACTTACTGAAGAGTACAAGTTAGAATCTTGTATTCAGCCTTCTTATTGACGTAGGTCTTCCCATCATGTTTTTTCGTATGTGTGTGTGTGTACGAAGAGTACAAGTTAAGAATCTTGTCCACTTTTACCCTAAAAAAATAAAATATATGAATGAGTGTAAACATGTCAGTTAAAATATTTAAATGTAAATTATGCTACTAATAATACTTAGCGCGCTTGAGACTCGCAAAAAGACAACGGGCCACCGGTGTGCGTGGCGCTAGCAGGGGCATTCTCGTCACCACCACGACGATTTTTCTTGTTTTGCTTGGAGGATGCCAAGAACTTTGGAGTCTTCCAATACAGTTTAACAACATTTAATACAAATATACAAATTTATAAATATAATATATATACATATTAAGATATAGTCACCATGTTTCTCCTCGTGGCAAACCCAATCAAGATATTTAGGAGTTAAACCTTGTCTGAGTACATGAAGCTTAATTTCCTCGATATCTTTAAAATATCTATTCTTACAAATCTTGCAAGGACAACGCATCTGCGCATTTAATATGTCTACTTTTGGATTTGACTCACAAAACTCAATAAATTCTCTTACTTTGTCAACCGAATCTGTATTTATAAAACCTGAACTATCAAGTCTTTTATACATCAATCTCGATTTTCGTGAAAGTCACTCATTCTGAGAATTTCAAATAAATAAAATTAACATACTATTTAGTTATAGAATTTATAATAAAACATCAAATAATATAATATAAATGCAAGAACTACAATATTCAACAACATACATAATACATACACAATCGTCATATAGTAACATTTAGAATATCTAAAATATGCTATGAAACAATTAATAAGCATAATATTCGTTAAAAACATTAATAAGTTTTTTAAACAAAATGACAAAATTTAGGGGAAAGAACTCTAATTTATATAAAATTTAAACTTAGTTGAAAATGTCAAATAATTTACATGTAATAATGTACTCTTTATTGATATCATCAAGCAATAATAATTGTGTATTCGAGTATAAAAATATAATCTATATTCAAATTTGTTTAAAACTTGAATTTAAAAATAAAGAGAAAAAAACCTGAGATTTTGAATGGACGACGGTCGACGGTCAACGGCAGGCGAATGGACGGCTAGCGACGGTGGCGGGCGAGCGGTGGCGAACGGATGGCTGCTTGGAACGTCTCGCGGCTCGCGAACTTTGGTCTGCATAAAACAAGATTTGCATTTAGATTTGGATAGGGCGACGGAAATCAGCGACGAAATTAATTCCGTGGCTAATTAAAACATAGTGTTTTGATTAATTTTAGTCTCGGGGACGGTTTTTTCCCGTCGCCAGCGTAACAACGGTTTTTTTCCTTCACTAAACAAACGGTGTGGTTAGCTTACCTACTAGCGACTGAATTTTTCCGTTGCTAATTCCGTCACTAAACCAGCGCGCATTAGTTCCCGCTAATACCTAACGACGGATTGATAGTTCCGTCGTTAAGTACGGTAGGCATCCAATTTCCGTCGCTATTTCTGTCATTTTGAACGACGGAATGATTTCCGTCACTATATTCCGTCGTTTTTTAAGTATTTTCTTGTAGTGTAACTTCACACATCTACCTAAGCATCCTCATCTATACTACCCTGATCTTTTGGGCATTCTTAACCTAATGATGCAAAATGAGCCAATGCCTTCGTCTCTGCTATACTTGAACCTGGGTGAACTTTCCCATGAGTCTTGGGAAGTGAGCTCCCTACCACTCAGGATTATGTGCTATTTTAAAACAATAAAAACTTCAAGGTTCTTTTTTATCATATAAAGTGGAGTACTCCATGATTCACAAGCTAAAACCGTATTTACTCTAAACACTTATTTAGGCTTTCATTTTCCATAATTTTCATTTTTCAATTGTAAATCAAATGCTTGATCATTCAAAACAAAAGGCTGTGCACGAGGAAATGGTAGCAACATACAAAATTATAATAATCAATTTATCCATTTCGAAAAAAGATTCTTGTTTTTAACAAATAGAAAAATAAAACATACTCTCTCCATCTTAAAAAAGTTAGTTTAAACTTATGTTTGATCCTTAAAAGAGTTCCATTTTAGCAGAATAAACTTTTAATTATAAGTAACATGTAATTAATTTTGAATAAAATAAATTCAACAATTTCTGATTCTAAGGTTATTGAGGATACAAATACAACGATGACAACATCCTAGTATAATCCTAACTTCATTGGGGTACGAGGGGTTAAAATGTACACAGTCCTCCCATAAAAAGTACAGGAAGGCTATTTCTGTTTGACTTGTTGATGCATTGCTTTATTAACTATCCAAAACTTCATAGGATGTAAGAAGCAAAATAAGTTTGATGCATCATGTTCATTTAGTGAATTTAGTCTATTATTCACCGGAAGATAACACATTATCCGTAATGATTCCTTTAGCTTCATTGGAGGATAAAGGTGAATTTTAGAAATTAAGTGCGATCTGTTTAGTGCAAAACTTCACTAGGCAATTAAACAGACCAACTACTCCCTTGCCAACATTAACTTTCCACTTCTTTTTGGGTTGTTCCAAAAACAAGTTCTCATGTCTTTTTTTAACATGGACCTTTTAGTTCTTTTAAATAAAATTACACCTTTACCTTCAATAACCTGCATGTTTACTATCCCTTTTACTTCACTTTTACCAAGGCAAAAAAAGTAAGCATGTGCATTTGTAGAATTTTCACGTTAGAAGATAATTTTGGGAAGCCAGAATATTTACCATATATATACACTTTAGACCAAGTCAAACTTAAAACTGGTAGATTCTTTATTTAACACAAGATCTTGTAGTCTGTATTTAATAGTAGTAATCATAATAATCATAAGAGAGAAGCAGTTAGTAGATAAAGTAATCTTAACAGGCATGACTTTTTTGGATTGACATTCTTAATTGCAGTGCTATAATATGATATGAGCTCGTTTGTGATCTTGTGTTTAACCTTGTGTCTGGAATTGATTTCTCGAGCACCTTTTAAAATCCTTGTACCACCTCTTAATTGGATTTGATATTTGGATGGGAGTTAAAGTAGTCCGGGTTCAAATAATGACCCGCTGCGTGCAATGGTTGAGGAAGCTGAACATCTCCCCTCTGATTAATATTGGCAAAAAAAACCGACTATATTTCTCACGTTGGGATCCAGTTTCTTTGCTATGGCCTCCTTTGCTTTATCCATTGCCTCATATATGTACGCCATTGCAAGTTTGGTTTTCCCATCAACTAGTCGAAAAACATTGATCAGAGGAGTGACAATCTTTAAAGGATGTACACAGTCCTCTCCAAAATGACTCAGATAGGATAGTCTTACATGCTTGAACACCTTTTTGTTCCTTTGCCATCTCGCTCTTTGTCAAAGCTTCTGATATAAACAGAGTTCTTAACTCTTCCCTCAATAAGGTTCTTTTTCATCTATTTCAGCTAATAGTGAACACCTAAATTGTCAAATACTCCCTCCGTCCACAAATAAACTTTACATTGCGTGTTACGATGTTTGACTGAAGTTATTTTCAAATCATTTTATATGAAAAATGGTGTAGAATTGAAAAATAAAAATTACATATTAAAAAAACTATATCAAAAGGTCTACAAAACTAGAGGTGACATTACTATATTATTTTATCAAATGGGTGACGAAAATAGACCAACAAAGTGAATAAAGTTTGACCATGTGAATAGTGAACGTAAAGTTTATTTGTGGACGGAGAGAGTATTATGTTTACTGCAGAAGCTCCGTTGCTAAACAATTTTTATTTTTAAATTTTAGACTAGTAAACTTTTTCTTGAGTTAAAAGGGACCTCTCCTCTATATCTTATCTCTTGAGGTAAATAAAGGTGCAAACTCACCATTTTCTCTGATGGCAGGGAACTTGAAACATAAAAACTTATGGGGGGAAGTAGTGAGTTCCCAAGCGTACATAGAAGAGGATGAGAAGGAAGAAGTCAACGAAGATCCTGCAGAAAATACAATGGAGGACCAACCCCCGGAAGCCGTTGCTGATGATTTAGTATCGGATTAGTTCGACCAAATGTAAAGGAAAGTCTCTAATGGGAAAATATGTGTTGTGCTTGTAGAGGATATATTTTCTCTTATACAACAAAACTATGTATCTGCATAGTATGGGAGACAGTATCAAACAATGTGGAAGTTTTGTGCTAATAATCACAACTATATCAGTATATCTCTATTTTCTTGGAGAGAATTATGGAAAAAAAGTGATCTAGATTTTAATTGGTAACGTAATCCTTTATATATTATCTCACTTTACCTATCTCTAGCTACTTGCCTTAGATTTGCATATTTCAGTTCTCATTAACCATTTACTTCTTCTTCCAAACATAGCCTAAGAGTTTGGAGTGAAGTAAAGTTATGCGTGTAAGTTCAAAACTATAGCAGTAAAATACACAGAAAAATGGTCTCAAATTAAATGCCCTTAAGTTATGAAGAGCAATATTTCTGTCACTTTACCTAGTGACTCAAAAGTATCCTTAAAATTATACATTTTGCAAAATAAAAGTTACAATTAATATTTTGGTTCAACATCCAATTAGAAATATACTCTCTTCCAAAATAAGTTACAACTATTGTTTTGGTCTTTCCATAACTTTTGTATATTTAATTATTTTCGTTTATGATTTGGTAATATCAAATAGTCGTGCTACCACTTGTAATCTAAAAATTCTGACGTAGGTTTTAACTTTTATTTTTACATAAATTTGTAAATAAATGAATTAAAAAAATATAGGGTTTCACATCGTAATTCCCTCTGAAATTCTAATTTTGGGATGGAGGGAGAATGTTAGTTTGAAATACATTTTTTTAGTTTGTCCACATGGATTATTAACGCAAACCTAGATCTACGTCATACCCAAATGAATTCAAGTCGATCTAGTTTACTTAGCCAATATGAGGTTTCACCAATGCTCTTCATTAGATGTTTTCTAAGTTAGATCAATCTTCTCAATTGTTTTTCAAATACCCTAAAATTTGAATCCCAAGTTCTTAAAAAACTCTAGAATCATGCTCGTTCAATGATGTTACAAATTTCATAGTTAGATCTAGAAGCGGCAGCCCCCGGTAGCAGGTCTCAAGGGACAGAGCCCCATGTCAGCTCAAAAAAGTTTTATTTTAGACATTGTTAAGAAAATTCTTTTGATTTTTATAAACGGATTGTAAAGTGACATTAATTAAATAGATCGTCTCAAACATCCTTCACAAAAAAGCATGTAACATTTGAACGTTTAATATCAAACATTCGAATGTTTTGCGAATAGATACGTACAAAACTGCAAAAGCAACTGTATAGCAAAGTTTTCTAACCCATGACCACCATCTTCCTCATTATCTTGTAGAAAACTTTACACACAACAATGGGTCCTAAGTTGCCCATCTCCTCCTGTTGGGGCTTCTTGGGGATAACTGGATAAATACAATTTATGTAACCCCAAGATTTCCAGGAATACTGTCCAAATAAAAATGATGAATGCAGAAAGCTAACACTCCCGTGTGCCAGAATCGTCTGTAGAAACCTGAATTGGAACCATCAACACTGGGTGATTTATCTTGGTACATCAATAATCAGGACTGCCTTGCACAGTCAATAAATTAGCAAAGTATTGCTCCACTGTCTCTGCTAGTCTAGAACCCCAGCCACACCACACATCATTAAAAGAAAAGAAAATAATTTTCTCACATTTTTCCTCAATAAAATAGAAAGAATTTAATTTTCTCTCCTCTTACTATATTTTGTCTTCTTATTTTTTGTTACAGGACTATATTAATTATTTTTATGTTACGGAGTATTGTTATCATCATCATCATTATTGTTATTATTATTTATGGTTAGTTAATTATTATAAGATAGTATTTTTATGTTTGATTAGTTAATTATTATTATTATTATTACTATTATTATTATTATGGAGTATTATTATTGTTAGGTTATTAATTAGTTTCTTGTTTTAATTAGTTACCTTAGGGTAAAAATTATTATTACCCCTAATCAGAATAGTACATCAATGTCAAATGTTGAACCATAAAATGGTTCCATGCATGCATAAGACAACATACAAATACAAACAACATACATAGATAAAACAAACAAATAACATACACAAACTTAGCACGTAGGCCATACAAAATAAAGAACCATCAAATAAACATCAATGTGATCACACTTTATCAAAGGAGACCACGTCAAAGCTCTTGCGGAATCCATTTCCAGCTCCCGTTACCATGCATCATCCTAGCAATAGTACGGTAGGAAAAACAAGAGCAAAGAGGGAGCATATATATTTGGGCCACCAACACAGTCCGCCGATACATACTCCCTCCCCAACGATCAGGTACGACAAACACTTAGTCAAAAAGCTCACCAAAAGTACTTCAAAATCACGTTCACACTTCTTCATCCAGGTTCACGCATCCAACAAAGGTGAGCAAAATGTTAATCTTACCATAGTCACCATCAGCCATCAGAGAGGTTGAGGTTTTCCGCCAGCATGGGAAGGGGCCAATCCCTGAGTGCGGGAAGCTGTCCACCCTCGTCAAGGTAGACAACTTAAACTCTACCATACAAATCCCTCCCTAGGTCTATGGCCAGAGTTCCCTCACAGTATTTGGCAAGCATCCCATATAGACTAGGCGCAAGTCCACAAGGTTGTCCCATAAGCCTTCATCCACTATTGCCCTCGGTTTGAGTTCAGAAACAATACGTAGATAGGCAAGATCCAGCGAAAATAGTCTCCCAAACCTGATAAAAGAAGTCAAGTCAACCACAAGATCCACTTGTTAGCCAAAAAGACCCATGCTCTTCCAAATACCCCAACCGAAAGGGTGAATATGAGCATTAGGTAGTGTGCCAATGTGAAGTGTTGAATTCTATTTTATTTTAAGAGTGTGAAGTGTTGGGTGTCTACCCAATTACCAAATACTAATTGTGTTGAATTCTATTTTATTTTAGTAGTTAGGAAATAAAATAAAATAAAAAAGGATTATGTGTGGTGTGTGTTGTTAGACAAGGCGTGCAACTCTAGAAGGGGGTGAATAGAGTTGTTGAGAATGTTTACCGATTTTCGCAGGATTAATAAAATAAACGTAAGTGCAGCGGAAATAAAAGAGAGAAGGCAAAGAACACACCGATATATACTGGTTCACCACCTCGTGGCTAGTCCAGTTCCCCGAGAGACTCTCTCGAAGCTACCACTACTTCCGTTAAGCTTACGGGTGCTTAACAAACCGTTTACAACTCGAGAACTTGAATCCCACAAGCCTCGACACAACCGCTCGTAGATATGCCCTCTACAAGACTTCACAACCAAGACTTAAGTCACATAAGGCTTGAACAACAAGAAGAACAATCTTCTTCAACCTCACAACAATGACTCTCACAAGAGTAGAAATGAGAAAAGATTAAGCTCTATGGATGACAAGAACACTCTCTTTAAAATATAATTTTTTCTCAAAATAATATAAATTTGAGGAATGATTGATGGAGGATTAACACCTCAAGAATGGGGAGTATTGGAGTGTTTCTTTTTATCAAAAATGACCAAGGAGTCAAGTTTATAAAGGGGTTGAAGGAATATATCCGTTGGTCCAAGAAAAGAAGCTGTGCAGAAAAGATGCAGCATAATAATCGATTAATGCAGTGCTAATAATCGATTAATGCATCATCCTCAACGATTAATGCAGCTGAAGGAAAATCGATTAAATTAAAGGGATTAATTGATTAGAAGGCTCTGTGTGAACTAATCGATTAAAACAAAGATAAAAATCGATTAGATCAAAAGGCCAGGCAGTCATTCGCTAGTCAAGGTAAATTAATCGATTAATTTAAGAAATTTAATCGATTACAAAAGGAATAATGGCGCAAACACAAAGGGCCCAAGCCAGTTGCGATGGAGAGCAGAATTGGCGTAACACTCGTTGTTTGAGACAACGGGAATCAGAGAACGCTCCTCCTCTTATTCAATGAATTTGAATAAGGGAGTAAAAGTGAGTCCAAAAATTATTTTGTGTGTCAAACCATGTACACGAAAAATATTTGAATAAAATATTTTTGCTTTCCAAAAATATTTTCTAATATCAAAATAAATATTTTGATAAATGTTTGACACACTTTTTGTAACTGACTCAATAAATGTATTTTGAACAGTTAAAAGGATTTTTCAACTGACTCCAAAAATAAATATAATTTTTATTGTAACTCTTATAAAAGTAATTTTGGGGAGAAGATATTTTTGTCATCCTTACAATTATTCCTACGACTCAAATAAATAAAAAGTCTTCGGAAATCTTCTACTCCTCCGAGTCCTCCGTTAGGCGCTCCTACCGCGTCTCGGACTTCAATAAAATCCTGTGCACCTTCTTGAATACTTCAAGGAATAGCACTTCAAGTCTTCGTGTTTGTCGTTGTAGCACTTTGATCTTGACTTGAATAAATTGTGTTTTTCAATTATCAAAACTTGTGAGTCAACACTTAACAACACAGAAATGGTTGAATTCATGCATTCCAACATGTGTGAATGAAAGTATGATGTGAGGTGTGTGGGAAAAGAAAGTGTGATTCATGATTATATGCATGTGTACGTGCTTACATGCCCAAAGAAAAAGAGAAGAAGGAAAAGACAAGGAGATCATAAGAATTGAAAGAAGGAAAAAAGACTAAACAAGGAGTAAACATTGAAAATATACTAAAATAAGACTTCCATGTTTTTATTCTCGAAACAAGAGCTAAAATAAATTTACATTACCAAATGTGGTCATGCACATTATCAAAAAGTATAGTAATGTGCACATGTACAATACTACATTACCTCCACATTACTACAGTGCGAACTCCTATTTTGAGAATAAAAACGAGAAAGTCCTATTTTAGTACTTTTTCTATGTTTTAATCTTATTTAGGGCAAATTTCTATTGAAAGAAACAAAATGCATTGGATATGAAGGATGAGTGGTTTTTTTAAATAAAATGAGTACTCCTTTTTTAATAAAATGAGTACTCCTTTTTTGTGTGGGGGCGTAGCAAAAGAGAGAAGAGGAGGGAGAGAAAGTTGCTCCTTGTTGAGAGAATATTAATTGTGTAAGTTCGTGGGGGCGCAGCGGAACTCACCAATTAAGAGCTATGCAAACAAATCATCGAACTATGCTGCAGAGAAGACACTGCATCACTGTCACAGTAACAGATAACGGACAGTGTGCTATAACATTTCTCAGTCACAAGCACAAACAGAAGCAGATGACGCAGAGGACGTTACAGCGTCTACTGGGCAGAATGCTGTAAATATAAAATGCGTAAAAAATGACACCAGATATATTTACGCAGTTCGGAGCAAATTCTCCTAATCTGTGGGGCCCACGTCTGTGTAATAGCCCTCCAATAAATCACTAGATGCAAGTTACACCGGTACATAACAACATGATGAGACACACTTCTCCGAATTGTTATGACAAAACTTCTAATCTAGGATTTCTAACCCGAACTCTAATCAGATCCGCTTTGGCTATCACATCTCCACCGAGATCACGAGGACAAACGTGTTGGCAGCCCACTCGTTCATCTCCTGGACGTCACAATCAGTTTGGCGTTGAAGATCTCCTCCTTTAAGTAGATCATAACCTTCTTCACGCATGGGAAGCTCCGGGACGTGACGGGAACGCTCTACATCAGCGTATATTCTTTATTTTCCCTCTCGATCGCTCCTCGTGATTCCCAGGGACCTACTGCGTTTTTATAGGCTTCTCTTAACACAATCCTAGTAGGAATAAGTTAGTAGAAGTTGGCTTGAACTCTACTTCCTTAATCTGGATCCACAACTAGCCTAAAGAGTTGGGATTTCTTAGCATGTACAGCTGGAGTTATTATCATGTAATAGAAGTTGGCTTGAACTCTACTTCCTTAATCTTGATCCACAAGTAGCCTAAAAAGTTGGGATTCCTTAGCATGTACAGCTGGAGTTATTATCATGTAATTACAATCCCAATAGGTCTCTAATTCAGATTGCAGCTTAAAATCCCGTGCTCAGACCTCTGATCCCGAACAGTGTGTTGCAGCACGGTGTTGTAGCATCTTCTGTGTCAACCTCGAAAACAGCATCAACTCTAGAAGTCTAAATAAAATAAACCTCTCGTAACAAACAGAGGTTTCTACCTAATAAAACACCTAACAAATATGGGATTCTATTTTGCCAAAAGATTAGCCAACACCATGGAACTAACAAATTGTTGTATTAATATTGTGTCAAATTGTACTGTAATCCTATCATATATATATATATATATATATATATATATATATATATATATATATATATATATATATATATATATATATATATAGGGCGGTTCCTGTAAGAATGATGTTTGGTGAAAGAAATAAGAATATGTATCATCTGTTGGTTAGTGGCACTGGACGATCAAGATTTAGTAATGCATTTAATGACTCAATTAATCTATTTTTGTTAGGAAATCACGATAATGCAAAAATTTAAGAATAGTGAGTGAATAGGGGCATAAGGGTCATATTTTAATCTAGTATAATTTTGATTGGATAAAATTGCAACCCCATTCGTGGCCATATGTGCAAATACTCATCTTGGAAACATTTATTATTATATTAAAATTTTAATTTAATTTCATTTAATTATTATACTGTGTTGTCTACATCTGACAAAAGTTTCCGTGTGCAAATCTGTTCTTGACAAAAAATATGTCATTGGAAATCTCTCGTCGAGATCTATCCAACACAAAAATAAATTCACTATCCCATTTTTTCCAGATTGATCTCAAGAAGATGCACTAAGATGACAAATATATGCACCGTGATTTATGCATTGTGATCTAATGCAAGTGTGTTTTAATAACTTTAGCTAATTTTTATTTTATTTATTGGAGAGAGATGATTATCACAGTCGGATAATAGATACATGGTTGAATAATCAAATCTCCATTATTGATGATAGTGAAATGAATACCGTAAAGACCAGAGATCCTGGGCAAATTTTGTGGAGCCAATTTGGAAAGGCTTGAAGAAAATCAGCGTTAGATTTGATAGAAATATAAAAAACCCAAAAAGCCCTTGACATAAAACATGTGGGTACTCCCTGATCGGTCAAAACATGTGATCGTATTCTTTGTTTCGAAAATTTTATCTTATTACATTATTTATTTTGTTTCTACATATATTTTTTAACAAAGTAAATAGAATAAAATTGGTTTAATTGAAGGGTGACAACTGGCAATTGACAAGTGACATTATGACACATATACATTCTTTAATAATGTACCATTATGTAATTTTTAATCCACTTTTTATTAAAATATTTTATTAATTGAAACTATTTTTATTACTACTTAATTAAATGACCATTAATTTTGTAGAATTTGTTTGTTTTTAAATTAACATATCAATATATATTTAACCAGTTTAAAATATATTTTGTCACTATTAGAAAACTAAAAAAAACTAAAATTATATTTATAGAATCTCAAAAATTTAGAGCATATATGAGGTCGTGCGAAGCACGGGGTTAACACTAGTTTATATTGTTGGTTTGTGGAGCCTTGGGCTTTACTTCTTGGTCCGGCCCATGTTACGAAACCCTAGAGGCACTCTTCATATATATATATATATATATATATATATATATATATATATATTGCATACTTGTACATGTAATCGGCACCACAAGTGAAATAAGAAATTCCTCCTGTTGCAGCCGTGGATTAGGGAAACCGAACCACGTTAAATTCTTGTGTGTCATTTGTGTTCCGTTTTTCTCATTTCTCGTAGATATTTGTGTGTGTTGTGTAGTTATTTTCCAACAAGTGGTATCAGAGCTTGGTTGTTCAACACGAGAACACTAATTGCGAGTTGTCACCTAGGGTTAATTTCGGCCGTGCAAATTGAAGGTCCAACCGCCGGGAGAGGAGATCTGAGTTTTGTTTTCGCTGGAAATTTGAAGGGGCTGGCAGAGGATCATCCGCTGAAGAGATCTATAGCAGCAGCCGCTGTTGGGAAAAGATTTGGTTGTCCAGCGTGAGTACCGCCGCCATCTAGATCTGCTTTCACCGCTACTCCTAGTGAAGTCCGCCGCCGTCGGGTTGTTGAGTCGCCGCTGTCCTCAGATCAACGCCGCTGGTTCAAGAGGAATTCGCCGCCCCGTTGTTCAGATTGCAGAGAAGGTATCTCCGCCCTCCGTCAGCCATCAATCGCCGTTCGCGAGCAGGTGTTGTTCGGCCGCTTGCCGAGTAGCCACCGTTGTCCAGTGCAGAACACCGAAGTCGTTCCCGTCCATCCGAGATTGTGCACAGCTGCCAACCCAGTTGCCGCTGAGCCGTCGCCGTCTGGAGAAGGTGCTGCCGCTGAGGAGTTGTCCAGTTTGTCGCTGCCATCGCCCAGTATTCCAGCTGCCGTTTCTTGCGAAGTGGAAAAGACAGAGGCAGTGGTCAGCCTTTCTCCATTTGTTTGGGCCGTAGCATTTTTGTCGGTTTTGTTTTGGGCTAGTTTTTATTTTTGGCATAAGATTTGTTTTCGCCAATTGAATTGGTGAGGTGGGCGGCCTGATTTTCTGACGAAAAAAAAATACCAAGACCTAAAATTAGTTGTATCGGGTATCTCATCTAGTCGTTTGATAAAGATTTGGACATGGTATTGGGTGACAAGCCAGAAAAGATATCGGATGCAGATTGGGCAGGTTTGGATCGAAAAGCAATGTCCGTGATCCGTCTCTTGTTGACTAAGAATGTTGCGTTCAACATTCTGAAGGAGAAGACAGCGGTGGGAATTATGGACGCACTATCTAACATGTACGAGAAGCCATCTGTAGCGAATAAAGTTTTTCTGATTAGAGAGCTCGTGAACACAAAAATGAAAGAAGGCACTTCTGTTACCGAGCATATCAATAAGCTGAATTCGATCTTAACCAGACTTGCGTCAGTGGGCATTAAGTTCGATGATGAAGTTCAAGCTTTGCTACTGCTATCGTCTTTGCCTGATAGTTGGTCTGGAACGGTTACAGCGGTTACCGGTTCAGTGGGACCTGATGGATTCACCTTTGATCAGATTCGAGATCTCGTTCTTGGCGAGGACGTTAGAAGAAAGAGTTCTAGGGAGTCATCTTGTGAATTGTTACATGTTGGCAGAGGCAGAAGAAATAGCAGAGATAATGGGAGCAGGAACAGACGAAGGAGTCAGTCGAAGACTCGGGATAGCTCAGGCGTAACGTGTTGGAAGTGCAAGGAGGTGGGGCATTTCAGGAATCAGTTCCCGAAAGAGGATAAAGAAGTGAACATTTCTAGAGGCTCCGCAAGTGACGAGGAGGTCACTTTGACTTGCTGTGAGGAAAGCAATGTGGATTCCTGGGTCATGGATTCTGGTGCTTCATTTCATGCTACCCACAGTGGTGAAGCATTGCAGAATCTAGTTATTGGAGACTTTGGAAAGGTACGACTTGCAGACGATAGAGCTCTTGAGGTGATGGGCATGGGTGACATAGTGCTGAAGATCCTAGTCGGTTTCTGGACTTTGAAGGATGTCAGAGTTATTCCAGCCTTGAAGAAAAGTTTGATTTCTGTCAGGCAGTTGGACGAACAGGGACATGAGGTGAAGTTCATAGATGGGCAGTGGAAGGTCGTGAAGGGAATTCTTGTCATGGCCCGTGGAAAGAAGAAAGGTTTGTTGTATATTCTCGAGTTACCATCTGAGGGAGTGACCGTCCCAGTTCAGAAGAGAAACAAAGTCCGGTTCACAGAGTCTCATGAGCAGAATAAGGTTGTCTATGCAAGAGAGAAACCTAGAGCCACAGGTCAGACTCAAGATGAACGAGCGAGGAAAGGTTCAAGGAGGCCAGTCAGAGGAATTTATGGCAGTGGGAGCTCAAGAGGCGCTTCAGCCAAGTTTCCTAGAAGACAATGGGTTAGGAGAACCAGTATTCCAGCTGTTGGAACATCTCCAGAAAATTTCTTGATTGGTATGGAGAATGTTTGTTCTCAGGATGTTCCAGGATCCCGCAGTATGCGTCTGCAGTGGGAGCCGGTAGGGACCGAGGACGAGTCAGGGGCAGATTTTGCCGTGACTGATGTGTTGGAGCTTGGGAGAGCTTCAACGGGCCTTTCAGTTGTCTGATGAGAGGGCCGCTACAACAGGAGAGTTGAGGAAGATTACTCGATGTACGGGCAATCGTGGCGGATGGCAGTTGATGACTATCAAGCCTCCAAGTGGGAGAATGTTGGGTTTGTGGAGGCTTGGGCTTGACTTGTTGGCCTGGCCCATGTAACGAAACCCTAGAGGCGCTCTTCCTATATATATTGCATACTTGTACTTGTAATCGGCACCACAAGTGAAATAAGAAATTCCTCCTGTTGCAGCCGTGGATTAAGGAAACCGAACCACGTTAAATTCTTATGTGTCATTTGTGTTCCGTTTTTCTTGTTTCTCGCAGATATTTGTGTGTGTTGTGTGGTTATTTCCCAACAAATATTACAATGAAAAGTTTAATCTAAAAGGATTGTGATTTTCCCTAATTTGAGAAGAGTTCCACATAAAAAAAACTTGTGTATTGTGTCTTTTACTTTTTTCTATACATTTTTTTTATTCCTTCCATATTATTTTGAGTGTTGTGTTATTGTTTGAGAGGGTAATTTTCCGCAACAACTGGATCGAAGTTTAGCTAGTTGTTTGGGAAGGAAAATTAGCTTTGCGAGTGAGTGAGGTATTGTGTCAAAAAAGGATGGATGGTTCACAAAAAATTCAAATTCCTTTGTTTGATGAGAAAATTAATCTTATGGTATGGAAGAGTACTATTGAAGATTTGCTCGTTCAACAAAGTTTAGTGCTTTGGAGGAGAAGAACCCCGCAATAATAAATGATGCTAAATGGGCATCGATGCAGAAGAAGGCGGTTAGTGCTATCTGTCTGGCTATAACTCTGGAGATGAAGTACAATTACTTGACTGAGTCGGATCTAAAGAAGCTGTTTGAAAAACTCTAGAGTGTATATGCATCAAAATCACTTCGGAGGTTACACTCGGCTAAGCTTCATGATACTTTGACCGGGTTAACTTTTCTTGTCTTCTTTACTTATCGTGTCAATCCAAAAATTCACCTAGGTGAATTTCTGGTATACTGGAACCGGGTCACGGCTGGGTGTAAATACACCCATCACTTACTTTAAGAGTATTACTTAATTTTTATAAGAGTAAATTTTCAAAATGGTCTTTTCTAATAAAATTTTTCTAAATTAGTACTCAACAAGTTCTAATTACTTACATGATATTTTATAATTAAGATTTATTCCCTAAGTAGTCTTTTGTAAAAAAAAGTCACTGAAATGGTTATGAATTAGACGATATTTTGGTGTTTTCATTATTTAAATTTAAAGTAAATTTTCAAAATGGTCATTTCTATACAAATTCATTTAAAAGTAAAACAATCATTGATTATACATAATCATGAATTATTTAAAATCCATCAAAATATTTTAAAATTTGAATTAAAAACACCTCCTTTATTAGAAAAGACCATTTTGGACAAACATTTCATTAGAAATGAAAATTTTAAGAACTTACTTTAAATTTAGATTATAAAAGATACCAAAATGTTTTCTACTAAATAGACATTTTAGTGACATTTTCTTACAAAGGACTATTAGGGAATAAATTTCAATCATAAAGTACCATGCAGTTAATTTTAACTTATTGAGGACTAATTTAGAAAAATATCTATTTAGAAAGGATTATTTTAGGAATTTACTCTTTTTATAATGTAAAATAACACCATAGTTTAAAAAGTATTATGAAAACTTCTTTTTGTCTATGACTATTTGTCTAATTTTGACATTTTACAATCAACAAAGATCGATTTTTGACCTAGTTAAAATAATCTTTTTAAAATATTTTACAAGATAAACCTAATAGAATTATTTTTCCATCAATATACGGAGTATAGTATTAATTTGGTTTAATTAATGGTTAAAGTTTATCAATTTTGACAATAAAAAGTTAAAACTTGACAAAAATACTCTAGAACGGAGGTAATAATATATTGCTCCATCCATATTCATTTATAAAATTCGAACAATGTGCAAAATCTCATCTTTAAACAAGTTTATCCATAAAGTGGTATATAAACAAAACGTATAAATTACATATTTAAAAATTACATCTAAAGTTCTTCAAACAAAGTGCAAGAAAATATTTTATTTTATCTAATAAACAACAAAAAAAATACGAGTAAACAAAAATTATCGAAAAACTTAAATAAAAAAATATAATTAATTTTGGGATGAGAGGAGTACTATTAATAGTGAAAATAATATAGGGAGTTGTAAAATATGGGTTAATTGTAGAAAGGTTAATTTCATTGATCAAATATGTGGGAGTACATGTCTATATATACATAAGAGTTCCTAATCCTATACAAGGTAGGAGTCAATAATAGGAAACAATATATTCCTAATCCTATACAAAGTAGGAGACAATAATAGGAAACAATATATTTACATTAAATATAGAATATATTTAACATGCTCCCGGCTACGTCGGATGAGGAGGGGGTCTGATACCCAGACTGGACTTAAACTCGAGGAAGAGTAGAGAAGGTAGACCTTTGGTGAAGATGTCAGCATACTGTGAAGAGGAGGGCACGTGAAGGACTCGAATATGGCCGAGTGCTACTTTGTCTCGCACAAAGTGTATGCCGACTTCAACGTGCTTAGTGCGCTGGTGCTGAACTGGGTTGGATGAGAGATAGACGGCGCTGACGTTGTCGCAGAAAACAAGGGTGGCGCGTCGTAGTGGTTGCTGGAGCTCAAGAAGAAGATTTCGTACCCAAGAAGTCTCAGCAACTGCATTTGCCACAGCCCGGTATTCTGCCTCTGCACTGGAACGGGAAGTGGTGGCCTGGCGTTTTGAAGACCAGGAAATCAGGTTGTCACCCAGAAAAATACAGTACCCGGAAGTGGAGCATCTGGTGTCGGGACAGCCAGCCCAATCAGCATCAGAATAAGCCTGGAGATAGTCTGTCGAGGAGCGAGTCAGGTAGATACCGTGAGTGGCAGTGCCGCTAAGATAACGGAGAACTCTCTTCATGGCCGTGAGGTGAGAGTCGTGGGGCGCATGAAGGTGGAGGCAGAGCTGCTGAATGGCATACGTGATGTCAGGTCTGGTGAATGTGAGATACTGTAGAGCACCAACTATGGACCTGTAAAGAGAAGGATCTGGAAGTGCCATGCCGGAAGAGGAAGAAAGCTTTGCCTTGGTGTCGACTGGAGTGGATATGGGGCGGCAGGAGACCATCCCTGCCCTCTCAAGGATCTCATGAGTGAACTGTGTCTGATGGAGGAAAAGGCCCTGAGTAGTGCGATGAACATTAATGCCGAGGAAGAAATGTAGATCACCCATGTCTGTCATGGCAAACTCAGCCTTGAGTTTCTGAATGAGACTCTGAAGAAGCCCTGGCGAGGAGGCAGTGAGGACGATATCATCAACATATAATAAGAGGTAGGCGGTCCCCGAGGCATGCGTGAAGACGAAAAGAGAAGTGTCATATTTGCAGCTGCGAAATCCAATAGTCTACCTGCAAATCTGTGATACCATGACCGGGGTGCCTGTTTCAGACCATAAAGAGCTTTCTTGAGCCGGCAGACATGATGAGGGTACTTTGCATCCTGAAATCCTGAGGGCTGGCTAGCATACACGGTTTCCT